TAGACAACAAGCCCTGTGCGGTCCTTCCTTTTGTCAACCGCTTACGTAAAATCCCTTAACCAGCCGAACTCCTGTGTGGGCTAATCGAGGCCCATAACCTTCACGCCGGGCAGACTCAGTCGGTGAGGTAAATCCTCGTCGCTGTTGATTGTTGCCTGGAGGAAACTCTGGCCCCTTTCGCAGGTTGCCACTTGCCTCGTGTCACGACTTGCCTTTTTTGTCGTCAAGTCAGCACCTCAAGCTACCTGCAGGTCTGCGCCAGATCTCCCTGTGCACCATAGCCGTAAAGCTATGGCTGTTGTAGCCGCCTGGGGGGCCCAGCAGGGCCACCTCGATGATAGAAACCTCGGTTGCGCACACCGAGAGGGTTGCGACCCGCGCGTCGCCTAAGTGGCCTTGGGTTATCTGCCTCGTAGTATTCCACTGCAGGAGCGAATTGAGGCTAGTGACAATTTGGTGTGAGCACGTATGGTGAGCCATTTTGGTAGGTTAGGTAAGCTAGGCCACGCCAGCCGCAACCTGTCAGCCGTGTTACGCACAGCTGCCCTACTAATCAGCAATTTTGGGCCATTGCGCTTATTGGTTCGACTTGCTTGCGCATTCGGGTACTCTGACAGCTGATACTGTGTTACGCACAGCCGTTTGCCAGTCATTCGACACCCGATTACTGAATACAATTTACTCTCTTTACCATCTAGGCTTGGTCAGTCCAGCCTGTTGGAAATGACCGACACTCATATACCAGTGAATGGTAGCCACAGTAATAGGACCCAACGGGGGTCCGGCGCTTTGCTGGTCTTAACAGGTTATGAGCCCCGAATGGCGCATTGCGCTGCTGAGAGATCGCCGGATCGATACCCACTGGCTGCCCAGAGAATGGGAGACCGGGATGAGGCACGGGAAGACCCGTAGCGAGAGAGTGTCGCTCATGGGGGGGTGTTGGAAATGACCGACACTCATGTACCAGTGAATGGTAGCCACAGTAATAGGACCCAACGAGGGTCCGGCGCTTTGCTGGTCTTAACAGGTATTACTGTTATATTACATATTTAGCTCACCTGAACAGCAGGTTCGAGCTTCTCTGTGATTAACAAACATTTCGCGTACCTCTGGCCGCATCATACGTGCTCACACCAAATTGTCACTAGCCTCAATTCGCTCCTGCAGTGGACCACTACGAGGCAGATAATCCAAGGCCACTTAGAGGACGCGCGGGTCGCAACCTGCTCGGTGTGCGCAACCGAGGTTTCTATCATCGAGGTGGCCCTGCTGGGCCCCCCAGGCGGCTACAACTACCCCACCATCCACATTTGGTCGATCCGTTCGACCAGGATTCGGAACCGATCGACATAGGTCTTTTGGCTAGAGGCGTTCGATTCAATTTGGAGCCACGTCCAGCCATTTTCCGTATTTGATACCTAGGGGTAGTTCAGTTGGACCCCGAACTGGAGCAGCTTCCTCGGCCAACGAGCTTCATCACGGCCAGCTCCCAGGGGGGGAACGCTCGATTACCTCTATTTGAGTACAGAGACTTATGCGCTTCACCACGCAGTTATATGATGGAGTAAATGCTGTAACCTTATTTTCCTGACGCGGTCTCCACGAAGCAGGCTCTCAATCACTACGTACTCATTACATATTAGCACTCTCCAGCGCCACAAATCAGGCCAGCTTTAGCCACGCAGCTACTCTTCCTTTTCAGCACAACAGCGACACCAGCTTGGGTGGGGCGGGGATAGTACTCATTAGTAGTCACTGCGGCAACATCCCGCGGGCCGCCACTGCACAACATCTTCGCTCAACCATTACGCGAGATCAGCAGGAGGTAAGTTCGGTATCGAATAAGGGTACGCGTAGGGCGTCCGGTTCGGGTTCTCACTCTAGCTTGAGCGAAGCTTCCCGCGTCGCGTGCTCGCGTTCCGACAACGGCTTAGCAGCACAGGTGGAACCCCTCTTTACGAAGCTAGCTCAGGGTGAAGTTACTGCTCCACAAAACACCTCGGGGGCAAAATACGAACGGGAGAAATGGTCGCGTCTTTTCGAAACGCTAGGTAGGCCCCGTACCTACATCAACTCTTTGCTTAAAAGTCAGCGCGTGATCCGTACTCGCTACTAACTTTCTATGAGGAAGGTCAATGCTACAGTCGTATGACGCGACATTTGCACAATGATTTACGGCCGCTGTCCCGGTTGGCTGTGTGCCTAGCAGTAAGGTACTGCTTGACATGATGATTAGTACCAAACCCTCTTCTGAAAACCGCTTAGCGGTTCCTATGCGAACGAGTCTATCCAGGAGAACAAGCGTGTAGCACTTCACCAAAGCGCCTCTTACTGCTATGCCCCGGTAGTTACTCGGCATGCTGGGGTCCCCCTTCCTCATCTACGGTTCCACCAAACGGTATCCGCACCAGACGTCATGCCGGCAGGACGGGACACCTAAGACCCTCACCTCGACTTCGTTCAGCAACACCAACTCGGTCGACAGCTTGTGTGGTGTCGCAAACTCCCCTCTGCAGATCCTAGGCTGTTTGGCTGAAGGCATTCATGGTGGGGGATCCCACCTCAAAATAGTCCGCGTAGTCCAGGTAACGAGCAGTATCAAACTCCGCCAGGCTTTCCGGGCCTTACCTGCCCTACACCCACCTTCATCACCCACTGTAACATAAAGAACGAACATCAAGGGTCGGTGGTCGGTCGGCTCCCATCCATCCAACTCAATCAGGTTCCCCACCCTCAGAAAGGTGGGGAAGCACACGGGAAGTCCCGTGTGTATTCTTGAGCGGAGTGTGGCTCCCAATGGTGTTGCCTGGCTGGGTGACTCAAGCTCGAGGTGCTGTACAAGGATGGCGGCCATTACGTGGTGACTTGCCATGCGGCTCTGCTGACATCCAACCAGATGAACCGTGTTACCAATGTTACCACTTGTCCCGATGTCCGCATGTTGGTCGAGCATTGGCAATTGAAGCTTGGTTTGATGTCTGATGGGTGAAGCTACGGTTTGGAACGGCTCCCTATTCAACTTTGAAAATGCCTATTCGTGGCATCACACAACGTTCGTTATTCCCTTTTTCTCTTGCGGCTCCGTCTGGGTGTAAAGCGTCTCGCCCGCCTGGGCATGGTTCCCGGCGGCGAGGTGCCCGGCATGGGGGCTCTGGACATGGAGGCGGCTGAGGGCGCCATCGCTGGCAGCACTCACGAGGTGGTGCCGGGTATGGGGCTGGCGGAGGTGTACGGATCACCATGCATGGGACCCACTTTCGGTGCCATTATCGTGTCAGGGCCATGTGGCGCTGGCGGCGCTGGAGAAGCACTGCAAGGTGGCGGTGGCGGGCGCTGGCCGCTTCGGGTTAAGTTGGCGGCAGTGGCGGCTGGTGCTGCTGCTTGTACCGTACTGATACGAAAGGTTCGCGCCACACCTTTCGTTTTGGGCCACGAAGTGTGTCACAGTGGAAAAAGCTCTATGGAGAAAATTATTTACTTGTCGCGAAAATGTGTGGCACGAATGTGTTGTACGCCGTGTACATGGTGTAGAACAGCCAGAACTGAGTTCTTACACGCCAGAACTGAATTTTTCATATAGTTATAGCTTCCTTTTATTGTAACTGTTGTTTGCTGGACATCCTGGCACGCTACGTGACAATGCGTTGACCATGAAGCCCAGACGACCCAAGCAAACCAAGCTCACAGCCTTTTTGCCAAAGCTTGCTCGTGACACTCCTGTTGAGCTCAGAGCAGGCGTTGCTAATATTAATGTTGCTCCAGAGGTCTTGGCTGCTAGAGCCGAGCGTGAAAACGCGATGGCAGTTCAAATTGCCCGGCAGCGCAGCAGTTTGGGAGCTTTGATGCTGTCGCTCCTTGTTGTGGCTTCCCTGGAGCCCCGCGAAATGTGTGTTCATGTAAACAAATGTGTGCCATAAAAACTGACAGCCCTCGCGAATTGGTGTAACAAAACGAAAAATTCCAGCTATATTTTTGGGGTACCCGCGAAAGGTGTGGCGCGAACCTTTCGTATCAGTACGGTAGTGAAGCCGCGGTTGAGGCGATTGTGGCATGAAATGCGCTTCTCTTGTGTAAGCTAAATGGTTAGCTTTGGCATTGCCAGCAGGCTGGATGTTGTTGGCTGATATGGTGGATATGGTGGCCGACTGGTTATCTGGACTGGGCTGTTAATGCACATTGGCCCAACCCGTGTGGTGGGTGAATTGGGTTCGTTGCTCGCAGGCGATTGCGCTGCGGAAAGGAAGGCAGTTGAACTCCAACGCAACTTATATAATGCAGTTCGAACTGCATTATATAGGAGGAATCGGAGAAATTCCTCCGATGTGCCAAAACGGCGTTGTAGAAAAGAATTGCAGCACTGGCGGTTCCGCTGCCTCCTGTGCGGCCCACAGTATGATATACAGGTATATATACATACCGCAAAACTTGATAATACCATCCTCCTATCCATCCCGTTATGCATGTATGTGATCACGGAGCAGCGCAGCCGCCGAGGAGTCCCTGTACAAGCGGTCTTAAAATGACATGAATGGCCCCCGTGAATTAAAAAAGCCTCCCGTGTCGCACGCGGGCCCAGAGAGCCCAGCGCCAGAAAAAACCAATGGCAGGTGGAGCGCTTGCTGCTGCTCACTCATATCGGATCGGCGCAAGGTCATATATGGCACTTACCACCATTTTTTAAACTGAAGGATAGAGCTGTGCCGATGGGCACGTGCAGGTATACACACAGTGCTGCTAATCACTGTCGTCTAGTCGGCTCAATCAAACACGCCATTGGAGTCAACTTTCAAGGACACGCTTCCCCTGCCCGCTATCCTCGTCTCCCCAGCGTCAAGAGAGGCACACCGGATGAAACAACAGTAGGGAAGCCAGCACCAAGGCACAACCCCAATTTATACGAAACCTTCGAGCTCATTAGTACCCGTCAAGCAAGCAGATGTGGCCTGTCCAGAGGCCAAGCCCTGGAAGTTGAAGCTACCAAAACGACCATACACAGTGTGCTACTCCCAAGCGCCACTGTTGCCAGCGACCTCCTCCTCGTCATCTCCCCCGCCAGCATCCGCGTCCACATCGCCATCACCATCGCTGTCCCCAAGACCTGCCATGGCCGCTTGTGCCGCCAAGTCTCCATCATCATCGTCACCATTGCTGGCTTCATCCTCCGCATCGCCGCCCTCTTTGTAAACGCCCTCCTCCTCCTCCTGTTCCCCTCCCAACCCGCCCGCCTCCGCCTCATCCTTACCATCCCCGCTCCTCTGGCTGACTTCTCGACTCGCCGGCACCCGACTTCCAACAAACCCATCATCATCATCCTTATCACCGCCGCTGTCGCCGCCTGCCTCAGCCTCAGCCTCTGGGCCATACCCATTGCCACCACTGCCGCCGCGTTGACCTTCAACCTGAGCACCTCCACCATTACGGCTGATGTTACTGCTGCGGCTGCTGCGATTGCTGCCCCGACTAGTGCTACCACCATAACCTCGGCCGGCGCTGCTGGGAGCCACCCCCTCGGTGGCCCCGGAGTGCCGCTTCCCTGACACGCTCCTTCCAGATCCCCCCTTTTCATCGCGCTCCATTCTTTCTCCACTTGCTCGAGTCTCGGAACCGGAGGCCTCCAGTCCAGAAGAGTAATGGCTCTCCTGTTCCCTTCCGAGCCCCGTGTCCCCCTGCTGCGGCTGCTGCTGCCGCTCCTCCTCCATCGCCCGCTGCGCAGCCTCCGCGTCCTCCTTCGCCATTTGCGCATCCTCCTCCGCCTGAAGCGCACCAACAGTTGTGAGAGGGACAGGCGCGGACGGGTCAGTGGGTAGTTCGCATCAGGGTTGGATGGGAGGCGGTGATCTCCCGCGGGGCAGAAAGCGGGAACAGGATTTGAAGAGAGACAGATCGGGACATGCAAGGTAGGGGCATGCAAGGACGGAGAGGAAACGGCCGTGCGCACCTCACCTTCATTTCTCCACCCAACACGACAACGCGGTCCTCTGATGTTTGCTTTCGGGTTCTATGTCGCGGCCAACCGAACGAACACACACCAAGAGGGCGTGATCGCGTTTTTCCTTTCCACCCCAAATCAGCCCTAAGACCTGTAAGCCGCCAACCTCTCTTTCCCATCATCCTTCTGAGTTCCCACTTTTTTAAAACACCCGGCCACCGTACCTCCAGCCGCGCCTCATCCTGCATGTCGTGGCGCTTTGTCATGGACATGAGCCGCACGCCCCCAATCACCGCGAGCACCTCCCGTTCACCCTCCACTTCGCTGTCCTCGGCCTCACTGTCGCTCTCGCCCGCAATGCTGCTGCCGCGGCTCCGCCTGCCGTTGCGCTTGCCGCCACCGCCGCCGCCTCCACCGCCCCGTGCCGCGCCGCGACCGCGCCGCGCCGTCCCCTTACTGGAGCGTGAGGTGCCTGGCCCAGCAACACTGGTGCCGGTCGCCGACGGGGAGAACGAGTACGGTGGCCGGGCGCCTGCCGTGCCCGTCATCTTCGGCGGCGGCGTGGAGCTGTCCGTGACGAGGTGCTTCCCCGCCGTGAGCCAGGGTTTGAGGTGGATATCGGGAATGTGGGAAGTCTTAGCGCCGTCATCATCGTTGCGTTGGGGCCGCGCCTCCATATACCTGCGTGACCAGGTACATGGTAATGACAACCGGAGGGCAACAGCCGGGGGGGGAGGGGACGGAAGTCGGGAACCCGGGAGACCGACGTGGCCCATGTACCACCGGAGCATGAAGGTGGAGCGCCGGTGCATGTGAGGTGGAGAGCGGGAAAGGCCAGAGTGGCCAGAGAGGAGGCGGCAGGGCTGGGATTGGTAGGCGGCTAGGAAACCGGGAGGCGCCCTTTATCAGGTAAAGGGAGGGACCCGGTGACCAGGTCCAGAATCGGCCAAGCGCATCGCTGGGCCCTTTCCAAGCATCTCCCTCCACCACTACCCCTCTGGTTCGCGAGAACGCAGATCCTCACACCAGGCAGCTCCACCGCTCACACCCCGGTCGCTTCCCTTTCCCTTTCCGCGTGTTGAGGAGCCCCGGGACAGCTCGACAAGGCAATCCCGAAGCCCTTGCAACAGGTCCGAGCCCGCAGCACATACGACGACATGGTTACCCTCCCGACCCGTGCTCGGGCCTTTGTCTGTCTCACCCTCCCACCCTCTCTGGCTTCAATTAAGGGTGCTCAGCACTTACTTGGCCTTGATTCCCATGTACGCGGGGTTGGGAGGAATCTTTTCTGGCGGTAGGAACCAGCCCATGCCCACAATCGGGTAGCGCTCGGGGCTGTAGATGGCCGGGTCCCGGGGCACCGCCCGTCGGCGGTCGGCTTCCTGCGGCAGCGTGACATTGCGCAGGTCGCCACACACCTCGCTTGCAACACGTTCCCTTTATCTTCGCCTCTTTCCCCTACCTCCTGCGTCTCCTTGGCCTCCCCCGACGAGCTCCTGTACGTGTGTTTCGGCACCGGCGGCGCCGCATCCGGAATGGGCTGCCTGCCAGAGGGCCTCCAGATGCCGCCGCCGGGACCCGGACTAGTGTCCCGGCCACGGTCCGTTGCGTGCCCGCCACCGCCGCACCCGCCAGCCTCCAAGCTATGGGCCCGCCGCCCGCCGTCGTCTTCAGTGCTACGGCAGCTGCGGCTGTACAGTGGCGGCGGCGACGCCAGCAGGTGGCTGTTGCGGGAAGTGTCACGTGCGCTGGCACCGCCGCCGCCGCCGCCGCTGCTGCCACCGATTCGCAGCTTGGTGCCTGGTGGCAAGTACACCGCCCCAAGCGCCAAGATAGCCGCTTTCTGTGCGCTGGCTTTGGCGGCGGCAGCGGCCTGAGCCTCTTTTTCCTTCTCCTTCACCTCCTTTTCCTTCACCCTGGCGTAACCCGCACGTTCCAGAGCCGGAAGGTGTGTGCCGTGCCCGTCGACCCCGTCCCCTTCAGCGCCCACCCCGGCGTCCCCTGCCCCGCCCCGCCGACCCTGGCTCCCGGGACTACCTCCGCCGCCACCGCTGCTACCTTCACGGAAGTACGACTGGTCTGGACTGTATGCTCGTCCGACGTACGAATCCAGTAAGTCCGTACGGGGAGAGCGTTGTGCACCATTAGTAGTACCGGCCGCGGCGGCGGTCCCCAGGGCAGTGTTTGTGCCCCCTGCAGCAGCGGTGTAGCCCCCAGGGCCGGGTGACGTCCCCGGCGATGTTGCGTTCCGGCCAGGTCCCGGCGACGTCACCTCACCGCCGTACGGACTTGTCCATATGGGCGGTGAGGCCGCGTTCAGTCCCGGCAGGATGGTTGTGCGTGTGCCGTTCCCGTCCGTGCTGACAATCCTGCTGCCGCCGGTGCGAGGTCCCAGCGTGTTGTCACCGTCCGAGGTCCGGCGGCCTCCAGGGCTGCGGCTGTGTTCGCTGCGGCCGGTGCCTGTGGGAAAGGAGCCGCGGACGCCGCTGCCTGGAAAGGCATTAGTGGAGGGTGGACGCAGGAGCGCGGTGCGCGGCTGCACCTCCCAGGCGCTGCGTTCCAGGATGAAGCGGGAGTCCCAGGCGGGTCGGCCGTCTGCGTGAGTGGTTCCCTCCAGATCTGGGACAGCAGTCGGGGCGCCGTCGCTGACTGCGGCGTGACTGGCAGCGCCGCGGATGCTGCTGCTGCCGCCGCCGCCACCGCCACCACCGCGCGTGCCATTGGGTGACGAGGCACGAGCCAGCCTGTGACCCTGCGTCGCATGATATCGTGTCGCAAGACGTCACCTAGTGAGATAGCGTGGATATGATGAATTATGGTTGCAGAGCAGTGTGTCGGTGGGTGGAAACGTTATGAAGTGTTACACGGCGCGTCGTGAGCCGAAAGATCGAAATAAAGTAACAGGATACACGACGTGGACTTGCCCCAAAAGGGGCCCCCAGTGTCGGTGTGAATGTGATCTGCGAGGTCACGGATTCCCTCTCCAACGAGGAATGGGCTGTTGCTCATTGTTGATATCGTAATTATATACACGATCGTAGCTTGCATGTTGTTCTTTTAGACTCCGGAATGTCCAAATTAGGCTATGGGAACCGGGAGGTCCAGGAGGTGCCATCAATCGCTGGGGAGGCACGGCGGCCAGGCCACGTGCAGCGGCAAGAGCCCGCGGGGCTGTGCGAAAGCCCACACAGGCGATTCTAGAAATACACAATATTGCGGTTGCCACCACAGATTCTAAAAGGCAATGCCAGAACGCATTTCGCCGTAGTGCGCTTGTAAGGAGCTAGTATGAATGTGTAGCGGCCACGTGACGGTTACGCTGAGCCCAACCGTTGCCCGGAAGCCTGCCGTTAATCCACGCCGCCGCGGCGGTTTGCATGTCATGCCCATTTTGTTAGGCAGCGGCAGCGGCCGTCCGTTACGTACCTGCTGAGCCTCCTTGTACGGTAACTGGTCGAGCTCGCCTGCGTCGGAAAGCGGCGACAGTTTGGGCGGCTGGTACGAGGGGTCCGTGTACCCAGTGCTGGCGACGGCCGTTAGGTCCAGGGTTGAATGAACCGCATCTGGGTTTTGAGCTGCCTTATCCCAGCCAGGGCGGGGACGAAGAGCAGACGGAGTACCCTGGTCATGTGTGTCCTCCGTCATTACCGCGGCAGCTGTCGCCCTAAGCAGTTGCTGAGTGTTGATTGCTGGATTCAACTAATGTGGTATATGTTGCATTGGGTCCTTGTACAGTGCGACTTCCAAGTTCACGTCAGAACTTCCGAAGGATGCCCTCTTGCGCCTGTGCAAGGATGGTATTATAGGTTACTAGTAGATCCAGAACAAACACATTCCAACACATTCGCAGAAGGTTGGGTGCACAAGCTCCCTTCAGAATACAACCGGAACATAGACGTGCGCTCTCATGTGAAGTGGCTGCCACAACCACATAAAGTACTTACCTTCGCGGCTTTGTAATATCAGGTAGCTGCCAGTTTCCAGCCGTATACCGTCCTGGCTATTCTCTAAGCCTCGTGTGTCGGGCGGTTGCTATTGACACGAATATAGCGATCCAAATCGAAATCATAGGATAACTTAGGATATCCCCACTACAAGTTTACCGTTGAAACTCTTGAAGTTACGTTGCGTGTAGTTTTAGAGAGAAAACTTGGTCAGCACGTCGTACAGTACCGGGCCAGCTTTCCTTGATCATGCAAGCTCGCAAAGCTTTGATGTGTGAAGCATTGCTGGACTGAGATGAGACGATATGTCAAATATTTATAACCTTGAGCCGCCCACAAAGGGCAAGGTGAGCATTTCGTATCGGCGATAGCCGATAGCGCATTTTTACGCGAATGTTGAACAATGCTAAAATGCAGTTATACAATCAAATTTGGAGTGCACAGTGCATGCTTGCAAAATTCTTTCTTAATAAGCCTTTATTATACGCAGGTGATCCTGCACACTAGCCTTGGCGACCTGGAGATCGAGCTATGGCCGAAAGAAGCGCCCAAGGTGGGATGGGGGGATGTTCAAGGTCAGCCGTAATGGTCTTCGGGCAGTTAGTCGTCGGCTCGGCTATTCTCCTGCTTTGCTCAGAAGTGTGCTGCTGGTGTCTGTAGTTCCGTCTGGGTGAAGGTTACAAGCTCACTTTGTCAAATATACCCGCCCTGTGGCGCCCGCTCCGAAACCTCTTGTTCCCACGCGTTCCACAAACAATTACAGTAAATCCCACCCCTTCCTTGCGCCGCAGCCGGTCAGACTCACCCGCTCCTTTGGAAGCCCTCAGCCGCACTTTAGCCACACGTCCCCTACCCCGCAACTCCCCTGGTACACAGGCCTGCCGCAACTTCGTGCAGCTATGCGCGGAGGGCTACTACGACAACACCATTTTCCACAGAATCATCAAGGACTACATCGCACAGGGTGGAGACCCCACGGGCACCGGCACGGGTGAGGCCCGGCGGTGGGTAGCCCTTCCACAGAATCCCCGTCAACAGTACGGACCCACGGGTCGAGACGGCGCATCCGCAACCGCCCGGAAGCCCAATTTTGCCCACGAGGCTTTCCGTCGCGTGCATGTACAGGGTGCATGTTGATTTCGGATTGGGGGTTAGCGAAGGGGGCCCATGTTGGGGTTGAGTCACATCTGGCCTCCTGTTGCCGGGGCCCCATCAGTCTCCTGTTGCCAGGGCCCCATCAGTCTCCTGTTGCCGGGGTCCCTCCCTGGTGCCTCCAAGGTGAGGTTGCTGCCTCCTGCCGGGTCCACGTACGCTGGCCTGCATGTGCTATCCACCTTACGGACCAAATGGACCTGCTTGCCGAGACTGTGTCTCGCCCTCCTGTCCCCTGCACCCCTCCCAGGCGGCGAGTCCATTTACGGGGAGCCCTTCCGGGATGAGTTCCACTCGCGACTGCGGTTCACGCACCGGTAGGCGGGCTGCCCCGGGGGGCTGGGTAAGGGAGGCGTGGGTGGGGACGGTGGGCAGGTGCGTGCGTGCGTGTGTATGTTTGTCTGTATTGGGATGGGAATAATGGGAACGAGGAAGCGGACTATGCAGGTAGGGAACACTGGAGGGCTGGGATTAGCTGGGCTCCGTGCCGGAGGGACTGCCAGTGGGTATGGGGTACCGTCGCGACATGTGTGACGTCACTGATATTATATCGGCGGCAGTTTTATTGGGGACGTAATGCGCTGTGAGGGCCTCATTCCGCCATGGCGTGTTTCCCCGCTCAGCGCACCAGTCCAGCACCCGGCTGTGTTCACCCCATCCCCCAGGGGCCTGGTCGCATGCGCCAACCAGAACGTGCCCCACAGCAATGGCTCCCAGTTCTTCATCACGCTGGACAAGGCCGACTTCCTCAACAACCGCAACACCATCTTTGGGCGGGTGGTGGGGGACACCGTGTACAACATGCTGCGGTTCAACGACATCCCGGTGCGTGCGGCACGAGGACGAGGCTAGATAGGCCCCTGAGGGCTGCCGCGGGGTCAGCCGGACTTTAGCCAGGCATGATGAGCGAGGTCGAGAAAGTACGTCTGCCTGTTCTTCTGGCTCTGTTGTGCAATTGCGTCCCTCCCTCCCTACCCAGCACTGCTCCGCATTACATTGCATTATACACGTTGATTCCTCCCCGCGGCCTGTTGAGGCCGGCCACAGGTTGATGATGATGACCGGCCTCTGGAGCCGGTGGCGATTCGGGAGGCGGAGGTGGTGTGGAACCCCTTTGATGACCTGGCGCCGCGGGTGGATAGGGAGGCACTCAGGGCGGAGCAACAGGCGCAGCGGTGAGGCGAGGGGAGGGGGAAGTGGGGAGCAGGGGGATACAGGGAAGTGACAAAGAAACACCGACAGGGGGGGCAGCAAGGGCGAGGGGAGTGGGAAGGAGCAGCAGGGCCAAAAGACGAGCTGTCTGGGTTGAGGCTGTAGAGGAAACTGTACAGAAGGTGGCGGCGACAGCTGGTTGGCTGGTTTCTTGGGTAAAGGAGGGGACCCACATGGGCTGGCGGAAGGGGCGTACGGGCTAACTTTCCCGGGTTTCTTCTCGTTGACCTGTTGTGGGGGTACACGCGCCAAGGACCGGGGCGGCCATGGAAAGCGAAGTCCCTGCCCCCTCCTTCCCTAGGTTGGTGCCTTTCGACGTCGGCAGTTGGCCCTTTGCTTCTTGCATGGGTTTTAGGGTTTCAAAAGTTTTAGGGTTTTGATTCCCCCCATGTTGCTGCTGCTGCACCTGCGCTTCATAGCGCCGCGGATGAGGCGCGGAAGCGATCTGCGGGACGCACCAAGAACCTGGCGCTGCTGTCCTTCGGGGACGAGGCGGAGGAGGAGGAGGAGGCGGTAGCGGCAGCAGCGGACCGCAAGACCACCAAGATCCGTTCCGCACACGACGTGCTGACAGAGGACGAGCGGTAGGTCCGGGACCGGCGGGTGGATGCGGACTGAGTCCTGGGCACTCGAGGTCTGGTGGGTGGGTCTCGTATGTGGTTCGTCTTTCCTCCTTTCCTTTTTTATGTCTATTTGCGTATGATCTGCCCCCTAACGTACCCCCTGCTCCTTATCCTGGGCGACCAGCCTGGCCAAGGAGAGGGCCATTGAGGAGGAGGAGCTGCAGCGGCTGGCAGCGCAGCGGCCTGCCAAGCGAGCGCGGGAGGCAGCGCCTGGGGCGGATCCGTCCGGGGGCGGGGCTGCAGGAACGGAGGTGGCTCTGGCCCGAGCCAAGGCAGCCGTGGGGCAGGCGGCAGGTGCGGTAGCGGCACCAGCAGCCGCAACAGGGAATGGGCCCGCTGGTCAGCAGGTCTTGCGCTGTAGTGGGCGCTGGCGGGGCCAGGGCCGTTTGTGTTCTCGGTTGGGAGTGGGCGGGGCTGATGGAGCCGTGCGGGGAAGGGGGATGGGGTCGGACGAAAACACTGGTCGAAACACGAGTAGACGGCCTAGGATGGGGGAGTTACTGGCGGGCCGCTGCGGCGTGAAGGTTCTGGGAAAGGGGCTGGGCTGGGTTGAGCTGGGAAAGGTGCAGCGCTGGCGGGCGTGTGCGGGCCGACCTGGCGGACTTGCTTGACCCTTCCACCTGCTACCTCTACCGCCACTGCCAGCGTTATCGGCGGCGCTGAAAGACTTTATGGCTTTATGGCTTCTTTTCAACTATCTTTAAAAAAAGATAGTTGACGTCTCCCCGGATTTGCGGGCTGAGACGCCACCACGCAGTTGAAGCTGGCCCCTCCATCTGCCGGTGCGGGGTCGATGATTTTCACGGGGGCGGAACCGTTGACAGGACTCTGGGAGCCGGTCATCTTTCCGCTACCTCTCTTCTCATAATCCTCAATTCCGCTTCGTGCGGTCCTCCTCCTCTTCCCTGCTAATCGCGCTCTGAATCCCCGCCATATGGAGCGCTATCCCGCAGGCCGTGTGGCAGGGCGAGCTGAGCCGGAGGACTCTGGCGATGGACGCCACGGCGAGGGGGACGGCGAGGAGGCTGCTGACCGGGCGGCCTCCGCAGCCTTCGCCGCATCTATGCGGGCCCGAGTGATGGCGGCACGAGCGCAAGCTGGGGACGAGCCCCGGACTCGAACAGCTGAAAGGTGCGGATAGTGCATGTGGCCATTGCCCGCCGGCTGGGTGAGGATGGGGGCTCCGGGCTAAGGAGGAAAGAGAGTAAGGTATTGCGGCGTGTGAGGGTTGGACATAAGTGCCAAGACTATGCCCGTGCCCCGCTGTTTATCCCGACAGGCTGCAATAGCGGGCCCCTCCCTCATCGGCCCCATTCTTCGCCTTGATTCTTAGTTTCTTGCATATGCATGTATATGCATGTATGTCCGCCTATACCCTCTTATATATGCATATATATTCCCCGCTTGAGAATTACGGGGACCTAGGTTAGGCTTGGAAGGTTTTTATAGCATAGGGGTTGTTTTACCTGTGTAGGGGCTTCCCCCTTTTGCCGGCCGGTGCAGCTGGAGTGCCAGCGCTCCTCCTGCTGTTGATGCGGCTGCGGGCCACTAGCCCTAGTAGAAGCAAGGATGTGGCATGAAGGCCGGCTAGGAACAAATGCCTCTCTGGCGGCGGGTGCTAATGCTGCCGATGCACCGCAGGGATGCGGGTCATGATGCCGGGCCACGGGATCGCCACATGGCCAGCGATGGCGGCGGCGACAGTGACGACGAGGGCGGGCCTGGCCCATCCTCGGGTCGCGGTGCGAGTGCGGGTGACGGTGGTAAAGGCAAGCGGGAGAGGGACTTCCTCGCGGAGAGGCGAGCAGAGCTGGAGGCTATGAAGCAGGACGCGCCTCACCGGACGTACGGCAGGGTGAAGGGAGCAGCGGAGGTGAGAGCGTGGGGTCCGACGGGTTCGAACCCATGGCTGGAGGCTGGATTGGAAAGACTGGGTGCATGTTGGCATGTGGCCGCGACACTTGCCTGTGCTGGTTCGGCAGCCATTAGCCTGTGCTTCCTTGGCGACGGTGGTGGCTTCTGTGGCACCGGAAGGCCACAATTCCTATTTGAATGGTTAAACATTCATTGCCCAGATTGGTTCAGGGTGAGTGGCTCATTGTTTATTCGACGCTGGAGGGGAAGAAATGCGGACCGGGGCGGGGACCAGGACCTTGCCTTGCAGCCCCGTGTTTATATGCCGGCCTGAAGCCGAAGGCAGCCCTCCCATGCGCATCGGCCGGCCCCTGTCCAACCCCTCGATAACTTCGGGAAACCCTATAGTCTCTTCGCATTGTGTGGGTCTCTTTAGGTCTTCTCTTCCTTGTGGCCTCTAGGCCAGCCACCGTTTGCCGCCGTTGCTCGCCTCTTGCCAACCTCCTGGTATTTGTGACCCTGTCCTCGGCCCCCGATCCCGTGCAGGTGGCTGACGCGGATCTGCTCAAGCCTTGGCAGCTGAGCCGGGAGCGATACAAGGCCCGCAAGCGGGCGGTTGGCGACCGGGAGAAGGAGACGCTGGCCCGTCTTTCCAAGTTCACAGCGGCACTGCGGTGAGGCTTGTGTGGTAGAGGGCCTGGGAGGCGCTGAAGGACAGCGAGTCGCAGGATTCCTGGGCTATGCAAGAAGGGTTTGCAAGCAGCAGAAGGGATCGGGGCCGGCGGAGAGGAGGGCCGGTCATAGGCGCGCGTGAGCAGGGTGGGCGCCTGGAGTTGCGCCACTGGCTATTCGTCCCTGCGTTGCAACGTAGGGGCGGATGGACGGGAGAGCTTTGAGGGGAGCTGGAGGGAGGCCGAGGGATGGCATGCTAGGTGCGTGCAGGCCTAGCCCACCAGCGTGACGCGGCCGGCACATGTGTGCATGCGGCCCATGTGGCCCGGTGCGCATTTTCTTCTTGAGATGGGTGGCACACTTGTCATGGCAGTGTGCATATGTCTCGTTACACGCGGTCTGGCCTCGGTCCACCGCACCCTAGGCCTCCCCAGGTTGCCAATTGTTGTGGTGTTTATGATTGTTTTGGACGCCTCCTGTATTTCCTGCCTGGAGCGCAGAGGCGGCCCCGCAGCCCCGTCCTCCAAGCCGCCTGAAGCCGCGGCGGACAGCGATGCTGATGGCGGTCGGGCCGCTGTCGCTGCTACGGACGGGCCCGGCTACTCGGGCAAGGTGCGGTCTGATCTGGACCACCGGGCGTACATGCCAGCGGCTTGGCGTGTGGATGACTACCTAGAGGAGGAGCAGGAGGATGAGGCAGGGCAGGGCGGGGCCGGGGACTCGCTGGCAGTGCTGCGTGCTCACCGTTTTGAGGCGGCCAAGGACCGCAAGGACGCCATGAGCCGGGACATGGACAACCTCGACGACTATGTGGTGGGTCGCGATGTCGCGTGTGCCGTTTAAAGCGGTGGTGTGAGGGCATGAGTGAACCAACCGACTGAACCTGGGCATGAAGGTTCTTTTTGATTGCGCCTTTCCCACTGGTAAGTGCTTCTCCTCCACTTCACTGTGCACCCCCACGCGCACCTGTCTCCATTCTTGATCCTCCCCGCCAGGTGTACGACCCGCTGCTTGAGAAGGGCAAGGGCAAGTGGAGCATGGCCAACCAAAAGGAGCAGAAGCGGCAGAACGAATGGGCGGGGCGGGCCAACATGTGAGGTTGAGTACCGCGCCTGACCAGCAGATGTGCCCTCGTGTTGCGGCCACGCGGGCACAGGTTGGGTGGGCTGCAGATGCTAATTCATGTGAGGCTGCTTATGGCGACAGCGGAATGTGTTCTATGTTGCCGGCCAAAGCGCACGTGTTTGTCTGTGCGCTAGAAGTGCAAGTTGCTTAAAATGCAGTGGCGGTGGTGTGGTGTGATGCAGTCCTTTCTTCGTGAAATTGGAGCCATCGTATAGGTAACAAAATATCCACCGCCTAATCCTTTAGGGTTCATTGTAACACGATTCATATGACATGCAGGAACGGACAGACAAACTTAAAAAATCCCGGTCAGTCAGCGAGGCAGGCAGACGGTGAGGCAAATACCCCGGGAATGTGCTCACGGATTTCGCACCTGATGCTTATCCCGCGTTCAGCGAATCGCAAGCTTATGCAGTTTAGGCTTTGCTGTTGGGCATTGGCGGCTAACAGAGCTTTGTCTGAAGTGCGAGGTAGGACAGTGCTTATAGGCAATCTGGCAGCCCTTGAGCCCTCAGCTCGTATTAGGGCGGTTTGCAGGTATGGGGAACGCACCCACGACCATGTAACACACACACACACATAAGATCGCGTGTACATCTGCGAGGATGTGAAAATAAACTGGCGCAGCAATGAACCTCCCAGTGTGCATGACTGTGCATAAGGAAGTTGTACGGAATTCAAGGACGGTCGGCCAGTTCCTTAGTCCTGGCGGGCCTCCCGACCCTTGACCCCGTTGCAGCTGCTCCGCTCTTAAGCTGCATCATTTGAGACTTGACGCGGACCACAAGACAGGCTGTGTAAATCTTTTATATATTCGAAGTATGGTCATATGTCAAGAGGAGATGCCAGTGGGTTGTGCAAGGAGTATGGAGTTGTGCATTTGCGTACATCCTTCGTGCGATACACATGCGCACACTAGTGTCCCTTACATGGCGTAGGGCTCGAGGGGTCCCTCGGATCTCTTGCCAGGAAGTATATACCTACAAGCAACGAACTGTAACATTCTTGCCAGGACGACTGAACTTGTCCTGCTGTAGCTATCTTAATGTTCTTCTGTAGCTGTCTTATTGCTGTTTAACCAAAAGGGGAAAGGGAGTTAGGCCAGCGCAGCTTCTGCGCTATCCACGACACAACGTGCGCAAAGGGGGGCCCCCACAACCCCCGCCGCATCCCTCTAATGCTTCACAGGGAATAGGTTCATCCAGGAGATGACTAGATATCATTGCAATCTGATTGGTGTCACAAAATTGGACAACGTAGGATTATCGTGGAAAACTCCCAAATGTCCACTGCCCTCATATACCAAGGGCGCAGCAAAGGAATAACTCGCGACCGCCTCCTCCTTTGTATCTGAAAAGCATGGCCATAAGCCAATTGCGCTGTGCTCATTGTTTATTTTGCGTCCTTGTGTCACGAGACAACGCAAGTTCTGCAAGGATACATTATATGCACCATATGTCGGTTAACAGAGTAAGAGGCTTGAATATTGATGAGCAAAAACTGGCGAACGCAAAAGTCCGGCTCTCCGCACTCCAAACTACATGGACCCAGCCTACACTACCAGGTGCACACTGCTACTAGTTAGTACATAGATATTTTGCCTCGCTAATGTACCCGTCTTCTCTACTGTCGGGAATATGATGGGCGGGAAAGGAACTAATTTCGTCTAGTTGCCCATGCAATCGCGCCAGGGAGGCGACCCCCTGGTCCCGCGTTTGAAAGTTCCATTCCATCATACATAACACATCTTCCTTCCGGGTAGCTTAACAGGACCCCTTTGCCTCGTAGTAAAGGTGAAAGACATCACTCAGGAATAGTTTCTCCCTCTGGAATCACTGTTTCTTACTTCGCGTAACAATGCTGCGCCCGGATGCTACCCGCAAGAAAGAGTACAAGAAGGGCATTGATGCTGAGGAGGCGCGCCGTAAGCGTGAGGACAATATCATCGCGCTCCGACAGAACAAGCGCGATGAGAACCTTCAGAAGAAGCGCTCTACCTTTGCGCCGGCCTCTGCGACGGCGAACTTCGGTATTGAGGACAGTACCAAGAACTCTGTAGGGCGGGTAAGTGAATACCTATCCCATTATGTTACACTGATGTGCGGAAGCAAGCAAGAATATGTTGTTTACCTTGTACCCGCCCTTCAACGATCGGAACGACTTGTGTTCCCTATGTAGCACCAACTCGACGAGTTACCTATGATGGTGCATGGTGTCTTCCATGGAAACACTAGTGAACAGTATGATGCAACACAGCGCTTCAGGAAGCTGCTCTCCATCGGTGAGCAGAAAGTTGGATGGGGACGCGTGCACCCCAGTTGTAGTAAACGCTATCTTTTCCTTCGCAGAGCGCAACCCACCCATTGAGGAGGTCATCAAAACTGGTGTCATTCCAAAGTTTGTCGAGTTCCTACAGCGTCACGACACGCCCCAGCTGCAGGTGAGGAACTTTCCTCCGCTCAGCCTTTGGAATGTTGCATCTCTTAACAGGTCTTCATAATATGCACAGTTTGAGGCAGCTTGGGCTCTGACCAACGTTGCTTCCGGGACATCGGAGCACACCAAGGTTGTGATAGACCACAACGCTGTACCAATCTTTGTGGAGCTTTTGAACTCACCGAATGACGACGTTCGTGAGCAGGTGTGATCTAACAAATGCTTTGTAATAACTGTAGGGCAACTTCGTCTTTACCAGGTAGTGACGGCGTAACACGGTTTATACAACCATTTCCCTTTCTTGCTGGCATCTAGGCGGTATGGGCGCTGGGCAACATCGCTGGCGACTCTCCTAAGTGCCGCGACTATGTTCTGAGCCACAATGCTTTGCCGCCCCTACTGGAGCAGCTGAAGGAGAACAGCAAAATCTCTATGCTTCGCAACGCGACGTGGACGCTGTCTAACTTTTGCAGGGGGAAGCCGGCACCAAATTTCACACTGGTGGGTCAAGTTGTGTTTTTAACGTCCGTGTTGGCATGCTGTAGGCGTACTTTTGACGTGGGTGTCCGTCTTTGCAGACTAGGCAGGCTCTTCCGACGCTTGCGCGTCTGATTCACCACACTGACGAGGAGGTCTTGACTGATGCGTGCTGGGCTTTGTCATACCTGTCCGACGGTGACAACGACCGTATCGACAAAGTCATCGAGTCGGGAGTGTGTCGTCGCCTGGTTGAGCTCCTGCTGTAAGTTTGCGTCGCCTGGTTGAGGTTCTGGTTTTCGTCCAGGAGCTACGCGAATCGAATTGTGATTTGTAGATTTCCTCGCCTGCATGTGTCCTTCAAGCTACCATGCTTGCGCCTGCAACAGGCACAATTCGCCAGGCGTGCTTGTGCCAGCGCTGCGCACCGTGGGCAATATTGTGACCGGCAACGACATGCAGACACAGGTCATCATCAACTGTGGTGCTCTGCCCTGTCTTCATAATTTGCTGATGACAAACCACAAGAAGAGCATTAAGAAGGAGGTGCGTATGATGCAGCACTTAGAACCCTTGTCACTCATGGCTTCGTTCGATTTCGGGACTGCTCCAACCTCCAAATCCCAACCCTTTGCCACCCGTATAGGCGTGCTGGACAGTCTCCAATATTACGGCAGGCACAAAGGACCAGATTCAGTCTGTGTTTGATGCAGGCCTCATTCCGCCGCTCATCACGCTACTTTCGAATGCTGAATTTGACATTAAGAAGGAGGCGGCATGGGCAATTAGCAATGCAACTTCAGGCGGCACTGCTGACCAGATCAAGTATTTGGTTCAGAACAACGCCATCAAGCCCCTCTGCGATCTCCTTACTGTCGCGGATGTTCGCATCATTACGGTGGCTTTGGAGGGTCTCGAAAACATCCTCAAGGTTGGTCAGCAGGAGCGTAACATACCGGGTGGCATGGGAGTCAACCCATTCGCCCAGATGATCGAGGATGCAGACGGCCTGGACAAGATTGAGCATCTACAGGACCATCCCAACGAGGATCTCTATGAGAAGGCTGTTCACATTCTTGAGACGTATTTCGATGTGGACGACGGAGAGGACCAGAACCTGGCGCCTGGTAAGACCGCTATATACCAGCTAATGATTTGGAGCGTCCCCTGTGGTGCATCATGCTGGCATCCTGTTATTCATCGCAGGTGTGAACCCCAGTGGCAATACCTACTCCTTCGGAGTTGCTCCATCACAAGGCTTCAGCTTCGGGGAGTCGCAGGCTGGAGCAGCGCCACAGTTTAACTTCCAGTGAAAGGGAATATGCAACGTCTAGGGGGTTTGGATTACCTGCAGGAGGGTCTGCGATGGATGTGCAAATACGTATGGGCGTTCAGCACGTTAGCAGGAAATTTGATGCTGGCAGGTTTGGGGACACAGCTTTCCAGGTGTTGGTCGAATGCAGCTTTGCCCACTGTTAACCATGTTAGCTCATGAATGGCCGTTCGGGGGAATTCGTTTGCTTCAATGCGTCGTCTTCAATATTTCTGTTTAGCATAGTCGCTCTCCTGTCGCCTTTATGTCTGGTGCCTTGATGCTAGGCAGCGCAGGGTGCGAGAGTAGCATTTACTGAAGAACAGTAAGCAGTGTGCGGCTGGTGTTCAGTGTTTAGGTAGTGTGCCGGAATGCCAGTCTGGTTTCGAGCCTTTTTGAGGGTAATTGCGCTCAGATGTTTTGTCTTTTTTTTATGAGCGATGATGTTTGCCGCTTGGGAGTTTGTCGTCCTTATGATTGCGAGTGGTGGAGAGTCTTCGTTTATGAGATGGGGTGTGCCTCGCGTATGTTATGGTTTAATTTTCCTGTTTTGGTGTTTGCGATTGTGATACATAATTATTTGCTACATTCTTGCAACTCAATCGCCAACACCAAAACGTGACGTGTGATAATGTTTGGGCTAACTGTTCTAAACGTAGCGTCGTCTCGTTCATGTTCGGTTGCATACTTGTTTGTCATGTCGATGCACTCGTCGTGGTTTGACAAATGATTTTTCTACCTGACAGTATTGTGAACTTCGTCGCCGGGCAACATTATCGCCTCATTCCGCATGATTTGGAAGAGGTGTTGTTAGTTGCCGTCATAAATGTAATAGTGCTTTCGAGGTGAATAAGTTTAATAGTGCTGTGAAAGTGAAAAGTGCTGGTGCGTATTCCGTCCCGCTTTACACAATGCAAATGCGCATGCGTCACTTTTCTCCTTCAAGTCCTGTGTTTTACGCCAAAGTCGTCGAAGTTTATTTCGTCATCACAGTGTATGCCTGGCTCATTTCGCTAACATTGGCGAAGGTAGTCAATCTTGCTCACAGATGTTCGGCTGTTCCATTGGGGTGTGGGGGAACCGATGCAGGATTCGTTCGTCTGCTAGACAGTATGGTGCCAGTTGTCGAGGTTTGTGGATCGAGAGATGGTAAAAAAGAAGTGCAAGTGGCAACAAGAGCATCACACCACCAGGATGTCTTGTTATCTGCATGGAATATGGAAGAACACCATTACAACGTTGTCATTACCTCAGTAAGCGGATATGTGAATGGCATAGAATAGGCAGCGAGTCTGCGACACACATAAACCCTGGCCTGCTTGTCACGGGTCATATGCAGTATCCAGTTGTCCAGTCCATCGTCCGTCGCAAACGATCCTGCGGCACGTCGTGAATTATTTGTTATTTCAGCAGCATACCAAGATTATGTGCAAAGAAACAAAGTAGAGCAGACGCGGCTAACACCTGAGTAGCGGTGGTGCATTCTCTCACATATATACTTAATTTGATGAAAAGCGGTCAAATACACACCAACGTCACTACATCACCTGTGTCCATGATCGCAGCCGTGTAAAGGGAGGTAAGGTTCATATGTGTTCCAAGAACATAAATGCACGGATGATCCGGTCCATAGCTTGGGCCTGACGCGTGATTTCCTGCCGATGTGCTGTCGCTTGCGCGAACCAACGCCTAGTCTCCATCGCACTGACTGCCGCTAGGAACGGGTGAAGATGACTTGGACCATATCAGATACGCAGATGCAGTTTACGAGACGAATCTATCTAATCACATGATTAGGTACTGTCGTACAACAGCACAACAACTTTCAAACCCAATCCGAATGTTAGCTGGAGGAGCTGGGCCTTCATAACCATCCTACACCGCAGTATTGCGGTGTACCTATCTTCATCCAACACTAGTGGACTAATCCTTATCCTGGATTTGGCGTTTTTATGCTAATCCTGCCCAGTGGGATCCCTATCCCGTCCGGCTAATCCTGTGGCTGAGGGCCCAATCCTAATCCTACACTCGGGTCCTCATCCTAAACCTGACATCAATTTTGTATCCTAATCCTGTCCCATCTTGCCGTATCCTAATTTCTGCCTGACCGATACTCGAACCCAATCCCTGATCTTTGCAGACCTCTGCTAGGACCACTACATCCCAAACATACTGTTGTATTCCCGCCAGCGACTGCATTAGCCAGGTTTCGGCTCGGAATTTTGGGTGATTCCATGGCATAAGAATTTGATTAACGACCGCTTGAGCAATTGGGCAGTCCCAAAAGTGATGTATCTTAGGCGACTGGGACTGTCAATGACATGTAAAAGCGCCACATACGCAAGCGGTTGGTGTAGCTGCCTGCATATTAATACTCCGGTCACACTCATGACCGTGAAAATCGTGAAAATTCGGGATCCTGCCATTTGCGATGTCATCACTTACCAGATGCTAAGGAACCCGCATCGGTTGGTCCCAGGAGGGCTTTGAGTGCAGACAACATTTCCACTTGGTTCGCAGCCGGAAATATCCGCTGTTTCGCCGGAATAGCTGCAATAGCGACCGGGCTGCCTGCAGAGCGTTATGCCCCCGGTTGATGGGAGGGATGTGGAGTATGTGAAAACCCACGTGCGTGTCCTATGCTATTACGCCTGCAGCCGCAAACGATAAGCATAATGACATCACAACTTTTGGGCCAAATTTTCAGGGCCAAGTTTCAGTTACGAAGGGGCCCGGAAGGGGAATGTTCCGCTAGTGCTGTCATGCCATGTGTGCGCCAGCCCTTCACTCATTCCACCGTCTGCACACAACCCTTTCAGGCACCGCAGGCGCGTGTGAAGCAGCTGAACACCTCGCCATCTCAGGGCATCGCAAGACATGTTAAGATTTCCTGCAAAAATTCAGCCCTGAGCTGCGCGGCAGCTTAGGTTCCGGGCCCACCCAAATGAGGACACTTCCGTACCCTGCAACACTCTCTCACTGACCTGCCAGTCCCTCCAGCGGCAGCTTAATGCAGCCCTGCTTGTGGTTGTATTGGTACACCCAATCGCGGACCTCAAAGCTGCTGAGAGCCGCCACCTGCTTGTCCACCGTTTCCACTGCAACCGAGTTGGCCCTTGCCTTTCCTCCATACAGACCGCCGCTGTCTCCCTTGTCGGGCGTGTATACAGGCGCAGGACCAGGCCTCGGAGCCACATGCAGCCGCAACCCTGACAGGCGGCACAGGTTGTAGCCGCCCTCCGTTGCGTGCATGCGCTGCATCAGAGGCCCGGTCTGGCAGGAAATGGGTACGCAAGGGAAAAGGGCGGATGAAGGGGAGATGTAATGGCGAGAGGCAAACCGCACCAGGGGTAACGGCTCTGTATCGGTGGGCTGGAAGGGAGAAGAGTAAGGACCAACTGATTGCCGCTCAGGATCATACATATCAGGACTTTAGCCAGGTAACAGAGCGTCGAGCAAACAGTTGTTCAGTGAGGCATCATTCGCGATAAGCCGGTCCTTTCTGTCTGTAGCAGCGCCGCTGTAGGCGAGCCCAATCCCCGTGGCGATTAGGTCGTCCGAATGGGCTGGGCCCCGGGTCATCTGGCCTTGGGAAGCAAGGCAAGCCGGGAACCACCATGGTATCGACAGCCTCAAAACATGGACAACTTCGTCCTTTAATGGGTTTTACTGTGACACCACCCCCAGCCGCATCCCATCATGTCCTCTTCCTTGTCGGACTGCCTGGGAAGACCTGGAGGGCGCATAACGCCGGATGTGCAGTTGGCCACGTGGCTCGCAGTGTCCTATCACAATTTCACAACCCTATCCAAATTCCCAAACACACACCAGATAGGTGATGAAGATGGACGTGACGGTGCCGGGTGAGTGCTCCAGGGTCGCCGTACAGGAGCCGTAGGTGGCAATGTACGGCGTGTAGACGACGTCAAAGTCTTCAAGGGCGACTTGGATCACCTTCAGACACCAAATCATAACGACGCGGAACAGGCGCACGGAGGCGAGGGGTCGGCACGCCAGCCAGCCAGTCAGCCAAATAGCCAAATAGCCAGGCAAGACAGGAAGACATGTAGCAGCTAGGAAGGCTGTACGATGCCTATGATACCGCCCTAGCTGTACTGAACCGACAAGGTTAAGTATTCCACACCCCATGGGCATACTTCCTTCAAAACCAGTTGATCCCCTTTCAGCCATCCCCGCCTGCCTGTCACACCCGCTGCCGCTGCCCGCTGCACAACCAGCCAGCTCACCCGTCTGATTTCGGTGCCCTGCTATCCGACCACCCACCCACCTTACCCGACCACCCACCCACCGGTATGACGCAGTCGGGGAAGTCCTGCGGCGGGTACTTCCTTCGCAACTGCTCGGGGCCCGCATTGCTGCCAATGGCCAGCACCGGCCAGAAGAGCTCCTCACGGGACAAGCCCACGAGGTCCACACCCCGCTCAGCGGAGAACTGGGAGGCGAGGGAGCTGCACCACAAGGGGCGACACAGAGAGGCGGCGTGGGGTGGGAGAGTGACGTAAAGGAGGGGTGAAATACTAGGCGAAGGTTGGTGAGGCACTTCGGTTGACCTGGACGACAAATGTATGGCCGCTGGGCGATTCCGTGGGCGTGTCCACTGGACGTATAACCCCATGAAGCTCATCAAGTCCGGTACGTACATACATACGTACACGACACTACTGTGGTAGCACACGCCGTGGAGCCACGACTGGTATGTGTCCACGTGACCTGTCAATGCGCGTCGGATTAAGCGCGTTGCACTCACTGACAGAAAACTGCGCAGGGTAATGCGTTACACCGACACCGTATGGACAGTACGAGCTGGAGACACGTCCTCTTTGCAGCAGAGCAGCTCGTCACACTCACCATGCACTACCTCCCCACCCGACCCACCCGCAGCGCCCCACAATATCGGGCAGGTGATTCAGCCCTTGCCATTGGTCGTTGTCGAACTCCAGCACTTCGCCACGCACGAAAAGGAACGACGTTTCGGGACGCGCATACGGGTATCCCTGTGCATGTATTAGGGGGGCCACTCTTAGCTGGCACAATACGCAGTCATGTGCCGCGGTCGAGTTGGAGTTGGGTGCAGCGGCAGGGAGAAGCAGCATCCCACAGCAAGGGTAGGAGAGGAGAGCGGGTCCCTGCTACGACCCGCCCATTACACGGTGGCAGGTATTCACACGTGCCAAAGGACAGCATCCGCACTGTTGAGCTCGTGCAAAGCTGCACGTGCATGACTGCACGGGCTCAGCTCTCGAAGGCGTGAAACCATGAGCAGTCGAATGCAGGTTGGTGTTCAGTGGTGTTGCAGTTGTTGGACTACCCGGGAGGGTCACTTTGACCCCGTTGTTAGGAATGGCCACGGATGGCCACGCCGTCGCCACAGCCAAGCTTGCATGCGGCTCCACCAAATGTGCCACAGACGCAACGAAACATAAATCTCCCCGACTTTGCATGTATCCTGCAAATGCCGCTTCCTTCGAGGCGTCTACTTGCATCGGCGTGCTATGTTAAGATAGCAGCAACTCGGTGAAGGTTACCCCCGAACAGGAGCGACTCACTCCCGGGTTCCCTTGACTGCTAGAACACCATACACAGACGCATGGTACATCTGCAGGGGTTGACCTTTCGACAGCCTGCAGGAGCACCTCTGCGTGCATTGGCATAGTTCTCACCTTCGCCCGCAGCAGTTTTTGCTCTTCGCTCTCGTTCGGCACCACCACGTTGCCTGTGACCAGGAGCTTAGCACCGCACCTGTTTAATACATAAATTGTGATAACCGTGATGCTGTGGATTATGGAGACGGGCCTTGCAGCTTACTTTGCCGACATGCCCTTCGGTGAACCAACGGCTACAGAAACGGCCGGTCCGGACCTCGCAAACGACCTGCCTTGCGCTGCCTGGGTAGCTGCTTTAGGAATCATTTAACTATTGAAAAAATCATTTGTATCACGGCAACGGCCCGCTTGGAACTTTGCGCAAGCCAACAAATAAGGCGCAGCAGGTCATACCCCATGCAGGGGACCAAACCTTTGCCTCTAAAGCACGCTAATTTACATCCTTTTGTCTTGCACTGGTTAAAGTTTTAGGTGTTCCGCTTTCCTAATCACGTTTTAGAGCAAACTCCTACGCCCATAGGAATACATTTGCAGCCTCTGCTGCATGCTTTGAGCTTTGAAAATAAGGTGTGTCAACACCGATTTGTCCAGAGTTTAGGTCCGTTTCGCAGCAGGCCCAATCATGTTTAGTTTTGCGGGATAATTCTCCACCCATCATCATTACATGTCACTCACGCAGAGGAACAACTTGCGGTGATCCTTACAAGGGGCATACGGTCGTGCGGAGAATCCTCGCCATTACAGCCGGTCTTCCCTGGGTATAATTCCGGGATGCAATGTACAACATTTCCGTTCACGATGAGATGATTAACACAGAACCATTCATTAATTTAAACATAAACAGCAGAGCAGAAGTAAACACAAATGGCGGAGCAAGCTCCACGGTTATCCGTGTCATGTCCAGATGCCCATATAACGCAAGACGCCTTCGGGTTTCGCTGTATTCCTTATGGCAGGGACTGCTATCTTCAGCGCCACCGCCACCCAAGATATTGCCCAGCGTATCTTTTTCTAACCGACGCTTACGCATGCCGCTTGTCTTGGGGCCAGCAGCGAGCTCGGCAATCATATTTCAAGATAGAGCTGGGAGTGTGCACACCTCATCATCTATCCACTGACAATTTAAGCTGTCTCAAGGAAACCTGAACTCTGAGAAAGCCACCCATCAGTGGCAGCTGGTAGAGCACTGCACTGTCAACATATAGCTGGTAGTAGCATTGTTGTGTTGAGACGGATGGTTCCTCTAGCGTGGTTAAGGCAGCTTGCGGCCTTGCTCTTTCCCCCTGTTCGCCCTATTGCATACCAGGCCGCAAGTAACACAGCGAAGTGCCATAGACGCGCAACTAGGTTAAAAACGAATAACACTATATAGTTCCGTAGGATGCTTTACTACCCCGTTTGCTTCCCTCATTGTCAGTTTGCAGTTCGTTAATCAGTGGGCCAGTCACTGCCTGGCATGTAACTACCGAAGTATGCTATTTTTCTGCTGCATGCCAGCGGCAATCCGTTAACGTTCCTGTGCATGTTTGTCCACAAGAACAGCCAGTATTGCAACCTGTAAGACCAAGTAAACAACAAATGCTTCAGACAATAGTGTGGCATATATCAACAGATATCCTATGGTAGAAGGAAAGCGAAATGTACCCTAACGCCAAGAATGTACTTTCTCCGCAGCAGGGAATGGGTACGGCGGCGTGGATCCAAAGCTGTCGGACAAAAAGTCCACAATGGATGGACGCTGCCATAACTACAGGCATTGCAATTCACTGCGAAAGGTGAAATTAAGAAACAACCGTTTGCTCATCTTTCTGGAAGCCCCGCTAATGCATGGTCAGCAAATGAGTACAGGCGCTTGACTTCGCAATAATTGAACATGACATCGACTACAACCGTTAACACTGGCCAACTAGTGCAATGGCTACTTGAATACGGGCAGCGCGTGCGCGATATTCAGGAGCGAGCGTGGGTCTACTCGCACTCGTCCTACGTTAAAAAAGGGCTGCCCTTGCTCCATGAGGCGACGAACGGGCCCAACCAGGTTTGCATTTGTATTCTACAAGATTTCCTACGCACCGTCTGCATAGTCTTCACTCCGGGGCCGCTTTTGGTGCAGGTCCTTTCTGTCTCAAATGGAGATTCCAAGGCACAGAAGGCAAGTTCAGCCTCAGCCTTCCACGATAAGCCATACCATTGCTAAAACATGATTTGGGATGCTCTGCAGGACAACATGCGCATCGTATCGGAACGTGCGCAGGATTATGTCGCTGAGCTCCAGCCACTGGTGTCCAGTCTTAAGGCAGGTGTTTCCGACCGAATGCTGCTCTAACAAAAGATCCTGGCATATTTCCAGACGTCGGCTTCATCACGTGCGTTCGTGCATTTAAAGCTTTGGTGCTGCTGTAGTTTGTACAGCGGAGACCACAGCGTTGGTACTGTTGTAAGAAATGTCGCCATGCCTTTGTTTCTCTTAAACGCCCAGTGCTATCCTTGCTCCCTTGTTCCCTCCGACAGATTATTTCCCAGAACTTTGCATCCATTTCGCAACTTCTGGCAGAGCTGCACCGCGTGCTGGGCTCGTTGACGGTAAGCCCAACAACCTATTTTCTCGCGATGGCGCAGAGAACCGCATGACCCCCTCACCGTGTTTCCTTCACACAGCTACGGTCTTACCCAGACCTCCTTCACCAGTACATGGACACCTTCTGTGGGGCCGTCAAGGCGGGTCTTCTGCTGGAAGATGTGCCGCGGAAGGCGGCAGCGCAGGTAGGACCCTCAACTTCGAATCAGTCGAAATACCTCCACGAACCTCTTCCTGCCAATTCATCACTTTTCCCTACCCCCTGGTTCCTCCATCCGTTCAGATGGTGCAGCTGGCATGCCAGTTCATCGACAAGGAGGTTGCCGGCCAGTTGCGGACGGCCACATGCGATCCAATTTTTACAGAGCCGTCCATGGTGTTGTACATGCGCAAGATATTCCAAGCTACTATGCCTCGCATCGCTCAGGTATGCGATTTTGTTTGCCTGCCTACCTCACAGCGCCTCACAGCATTTTACTCACGATTGTCTTGTGTGCGTCTATAGAAAGTCGCCCTTCCGCAAGCATACGCACACATATTTATGCTCTCCGCATCCACGCAGTACTGACGCGCTTCATTAATTACTGCACATGCGCACTTGAATGCATGGGGCAGATCTTGGAGCTTGTGGTGGGTCCTGCCCTGATTGTGGCGGACAACTGCCAAGGTGTCGCTGCAGCCGGACTGCTGGAGATGACCCAGCATCCGCAGCAGCACCAGCGCGCAAGCGGTGTAGCGGCCACCAGCTCCGATGGTACAATCGATGGCGCCGCGACCGGCGAGATGGAGGCATCTCCCGCCATGGGCATGTTTGGTATGACGCGACAGCAGGTGTACCCCTTCCTCCGTCACCGGGAGACGATTCGTCAGTGGGGAATTCTTGGCTTCCTCATCTTTCCAGGTGAGCTGAGCGATCACTGGAGCCGGGAGTTAACCTTCGCTGTAATGACCTTCGCTGTATTGCGGACGTCCAATGAACAACTTCTCCATTTAGCTTCCAAGTTTTTTGGCTGGAAGCTCACTTGGCGTTGTGAAAGTAAGATATCTCGTCGCCCAGCAAGACAGTTTCTATCCGCCCCTCCTGCCGCCCGTTGTTGACCGGCCATTGCCTTAGGTATGCTGAACCAGCCCAACTCGGCGCAACGACTGTCCAATCTGCTGGCGGACGGCTTCGCACTGCATCTGTACAAGGACCGTTTGAAGCCGGTGCACGAGCTTATGCTACAGCACTTGGGCTCCTACGCGTATACGAATGTTGAGACAAGCTCGGCCATCTCCACGGGCGCACTTAGCCCGAGGTCTGCGGGAATGCTTGGCGGCCTGCTTGGGAAGGGCATGGCCATGATTGGCGGAGTGAGCAGGTACAGCCAATCGAGCAATGACTGCGTGCAAGGTACCGTTTACGAGTGCCTTAACGCGTCGCTGTTATGTTCGTCGCTGATATTGCTGTGATGTTGTAAATTGCTAAACAGTCAACATTCTCATTTCGCTTCCGTCATCAGATATTTCCGTCATCATGGCATTACAGTTCTCGTACTTAGTGCTCACCGTGTTGCCGTACCGCCCTCCTACCTAGGCTGCGCAAGAGCCTTACGGAGGACGACGCAAGCCATGAGCACAGGCAACCTCACCCTCTCTTCGTCGAGGCAGCCGGCGCAGCAGCAATTGCCGCTCCCCTGCAGCACCGAATGTGGCGGGCGTATGTTACAGGGCAGTTGCGCAATATCCATGCAGCGTGTGCGGTGAGTGGTATGGTTGCAGTGATGGTACTTGATGAGCTGCTTCATAATCTGCTTTTGTTGCCTGAAGCACTGAGTATTTCCCCTAACCGCATGCCCCTTTCCCCAGGCTTCCCCGTCACGCATTCCTGGGCAGTTGGACATGCTTCTGGCTGCTTTGTCCCTCGGACGGGAGGAACTGCTCTGGTTCTGCAGGTATGTCTATATGTATGTATGTACGGCTCGGCGGAACTAACTCTGCACTCGTGATACCGCACACCTGCCTGCCTGTCCCGGTGTCTTGACACCCGCGAGCGAAATGCCGTACAATCGAATTTGCTTCCGAAACCGGGGTATCCGTGAAACCCACTGTGCAGGCGCCAGGAATACGGCATTCCTTCAGAGTTGCAACCTATCCTGGCATCCCGGGGCGTTGTCAGTCACGGCTACTCATGTGTTCCAACGACCGAAGATGCGCTGCAGGTGAGACGACGGACGTTTGTAAGGCTGCTGCATAGCGTGGATTCTGATGTATATGATTCGAACATTTCTCGTCACGCAGGCTCTGCAACTGCTATCCGCTATGGATGCCATGCATCGCCTCCTGGTAAGCGCTGTGTGCAGCGAGGCGGCCTTACCGACCTAATGCTGGGGTAGCCGCGACAGGAGCTTCATTTTCTTCCCGGCGCATGAATTGCCATAACCTTGTGTATTGCTCCGCAGGTAGAGCACCATTCGCCTCTTTGCAAGCAGATCAAGGACGCCAACGGCGCCGACTTTCAGGTCGGTAGGCACATCGGACATTGGACGTTCACTGTCCACGCAGTCTCACACGATGACTCATGTTGCCACTCGAATCCTGCAGGCGCACGTAGTTTCAAACACACCTCGAGTCGAGTTCCGGCTGCGACAGGGCGTAGCTCAGGTGTCAAGTGGCACTCCGGCTGCTGCTGCATCCGCCGCTGGGGCAAGCGGATTACAACCATTTAAGGTTCGTGAGGCATGGCCGACATGCTGCGCATGGGAACATCCGCCATTTCTGATACTTCATTCGCCATAGAACATTCGCCCAGATAGCTCTACCCTGTATGTTGTCTGTACGTGCGTGTCATGTTGGGGTCCCTGTGCTCAAATACCCGTGCAGGACCTGACGGACTTGCTCCGCAGCGTTCTTCTGTCTTCAGCTCCCCCAGCTGATGCCCCTGCACGTGTCTCTAGCGCATGCGGCATCTGGATCTACGTCAGCCTGCAGCTGGCCAGTGCGGATCCGCCTCTCAAAGCCGCCAAGGTCCTGCAGTACGCTGAGAACACGCGATACCTCGACGTAATGCAAAAGGTGGGGGAAACTGTGCGCAAATATATTCATGCTGATTTCGGGAATTATCGTTGCGTATTGTTCGTTCAACCGAAACAATGGCAGCGTGAAGGGTCTGGTTTCCTTACGGACCAGGCTCCCTCCCGAATAGATTGTAGTAAGGAGTACATACTCTTCGGAGTTTGAGAGCCGCTGGTAACTCTCTCGATTCTGGTCCCGGTCCTTTTGCCTTTCTGTCGTCGTGCCTGTGCACAGGCGCTCCATAATGTCATGGCGTCTTGCCTCCTGATCTTGCCGTTAGCGTTTTGCGGCTTTTGTCTCGAAATTTGAGTTCCTGATTGCCTGTGATCTGCGTCCCCGCAGTCCCTTGAAGCTGCCCGTCTGCTGTACGAGGGTCCGCTCCTGCACGCGTCCGCCGCGGACCTGGCACCAGGCTTGCAGGGCCCTCGTCTAGAGCCCCTTCGCCGAGCTATCAAGTCGGCGCTCTGTTGTGGCCGGGTGGAACACATGCAGGCAGCGCTCTGCGCAATGCAGGTGCGGCGGGACGCAATTCGCTTTTTGCGTGAAATTAATCTACTTGCGTCATGTTTTCCTTGTCCTGAATCCACCTGCGCCATGAGAAACTGCACTAGCCAGCCCTCGAGAATCTTTCTTCCTGCTGCGCCTGTGACGTGTAGGGACTGCATTGGCTGTTGCCAGCCCGAGCGGAGGCGTATGCTGCCGCCACCAGTGCCAGCGCCGCCAATAATGCTAGCGTGCTGCTGGCCCGCACCTCCATGGGATCCAGCGCAGCAGCTGCCGGCCGTAGCGGTGCGAACGAGACCACCGCCGCCACTGGAGCGGCCGCCGCGTCACCTGGTCCCCGGCCCCAAAGCAGCCGGCCCCAGGCCATGCCAGATGACCTGCCCAACAGCTGCATGAAGGATGTGGTGGAGTGCCTGAAGCTGTTGCTGGCACCGGTTGTAACGGTGGGAACCTGCGCACGACTGTCGTCCGAATCCTCTTGCCAATGCTGGTTGTGATGTCTTCATTGGAAGGTTTCTTCGACTGATTTTCAGAATAGCTGCACACCTCTTAGCACAACCCTAAGTGTCATCAATTCGGCTCTGACGCTGGCATCCCGTGACTTTTCGTGCCGTAGGCACCCCTGAGGAGTACAGCCAGCGTCACCAATGTTGCACGTCCCATGAATATCGCACATGCCCGGAACGGCGGCCCAGGCATAATCCGCGGCGCCATATCTCGGCCCAAGGAAAGGGAAAGCTCGAACGGTGGCCGGAGTCTGACGCCCGAGCGTGTACGGCAGGAGGCCGGGTCATCGACGGCCACGGTGGCGGAGGGCCCCCTCAGTAGGAACCTGCAACAGCTTGGGTTGGCCGAGCAAAAGGCTTCCCGTGAGGAGCTGGAAGGCCAACATGCATTCCTGCAAGAGTCGGGTGCGGATCCCGCGGCCCTGCCGCCTGCAGCCGACCTGGCGGCACGGTTAATGCCTGTGATGCTGGCACTCGACAACGGAAGGTATGGTGGTGGTTTCAACACGACTGTGTGTATGTGAGCCCAGTAAGTGTAGCTGCTCTTTCTTTCATCTTAGCAATGGTAGGTAACACTTCGTGGCTAACTTGGTGCTTTTGGTCCACACGAAAGGTAATGAATCCACATTATGCGTTTGCGTGGGCCTCGGTGTGCAGGATGCTCCTGGCCGACAGCCGTGGAGTTGACGCATTGTCCATGTGCCGCGCGCACCTGCTTGATGCCATCCGGGAGAACTTTTCGCAGCTTATCTTCAACACGGGGGCCGCCATAACCCAGGTTCGTCAGGCCGTAACCCTAAGTTACCAACCTCACCCAATGTCTTGAATTGACCGGTGCCTTGAAAAGCATCGGGACGGAAGAAGCTGAACTTGGTAACTTAAGGCATCTGGGGCTCCCGATCGCGGCTACATCTTTTGGTTGGTGGCCATCTTGTCCTCTGCAGGTGGTTGTACCGATTCCCTCTGTCCACTTGGGCCCCCTGCGACTGTACATCGAGGTTGTCGCCATGCTGCAGCCCCACTTGACGACGGAGCTGCTACCGGAACTCGCCAGATTGCTCTTGCATCAGACGACTGCTGCAACACTTCAGGTCAGTACGTGTGGTTTTCGTGCTCCATCTTATGGACGGCATGCTTGCATATACACCATCCCACCATACGTGTCGTTTGCAAAACGTTATACCGCGGCCGCCATTCGCCCATGCCCTGGTCGCAGACGATTGGCTTGGAAGCCATTTCTGTCCCGATGCGGATCTCCCACAACAATATCCCGCCACCATCAACCTCCGCCGAGGCAGGGGCGCCGACCACAGACGGAGTGAGTCCGGGACGCAAGCATTACTCAATAGTCCTAGCGTGTTTACAGAGGCCACGCAGCATGAGTTGACAGCCGATCTTATGATGATTGAAACTCTCTATGTGTCTGTGCAGGTTAACCCATCGATGGCACCTTGTGCGGGCAGCATGGGCAGCGGCGGCACACACAGTGCTGGTGTCGTCGGGCCCATGACGCGCTCGCTTAACCAATCTAACAACCTGGCGCGCACGTCAGGAGGTTAGTTTTGATCTTCCATATGTTCCTAAGTCACATCCTGCACGCCGCCATGCCTCAAGCAAGACGTTTATTGGTTTACCTTGCAGGCGAGGGTGATCGCGGTGTCGGGCCGATGACGAAGCGCCTGTCTGGCTCTGGGGGTGGTGCACCCCCAGCAAACTCCCCAGGTGTATCTGGTCCCGTCTCCGTTGTCCGTGCCATGCATGAGTGGCTATGGCGTACGGTCATCTTCCTTCATGATGACCGGCACCCGATGGTCTGGTACGATGCTGAGGTTGGCGCCTTCCAGTCGGCTGAGTCAACTGTCTGCAGTACCGGCAAGGTTGGCGCGGCATCATCGGCAAGCCTAGCATCCGCAACATCCGTCCGGGAGCTGTCTTTAATCTTTGAGGTGAGTTTGTAGCTTGGATAGACTGCGGGTTGCCAGCATATGCCTGAAGCTGACAGATACCTCTTCCGATGTCTGCTTCGCAGCTCTTCGGTCCTTGTGCTGCATCAGACCTGACCCGCGGTTGCGACCAGCTCATCCACTCTTGTCTTGAAGAGATTCAGGTAAGACGGCTTAAGCGCCACATAGTTCCTCAGGAGTTGTCCAGATAACCTCCTTTCTGATCACTACTTTCTAAACACGGGCCTCAACAACGTGCCTCAGGCTTACTTGGAAGTGAACCAGGCACCTCTGCAAGACCTACTTGACGCGGCACACCTGCCCCTTGACAAGCGCTTCGCCGCCGTCAGCCGCGTCCTACCAAGCCTAGCGCCACCGTCATCGGGGTCCTCTTCCGTGCGTGGGCCTCAATGCCTAAAGGGCCTTACCGACACAGTCCTGCGGCTTGGGCGCTGTCTGGCGCTGCGCATGCAGCTGGGCCGCGCTGCAGCCACAGCAGCCGAGCGGACAGCTGACTTTGTAACGCTTGCCCTTCGGGAGATGGCATCGCCTGTCAATGTTTGCTGTGGAGATGTGAAACCCCCGGTGGCCGATGGCGAAGCGGACGTTGCTGTGGGGACAAACGTCGTGACACCGCATGAGCGGCGTGATTGGGCAGCGCTGGTGCGATTGTCGTCAGGCAGCAGCTCGGGAGATGTAGACTGCGGCTACTGCGGTTGCCTACTCCCCGAGCGAGATGACATCGTTTTAACTGCACGCCTCGCGAGTAAGTGTAACGGCGGCACGGTCGACCAGATATATGCTTTAGAGGAAGCCCGTTGCTTGAAGCGGCCAAGAATTGTAAAGCTGCCTTTGCATCTCTACCACCAGCTATGTCCCGGTATGTTCAACTCTAAGTGAGCGATCCGTTACCCTTCTTGCTGCAGTGCTTTTGCCAAGCCTGCCGGCGGCCCAGCGATGGCACCGCCTACCTGCGCTCATGGCGGCACTCATGGCCGCACCACAATGGAGCGTCGGCGTGGCTCATCATGGTGCGGCACAGCTGGCTTCGCGCGGCAGCAAGGGCTCCACAACGCCGCGCGTTGGGCCCTCGCAGCCAGCGGGTGCCCTGCCACCATCGTCGGTGGTCTTCGCTCCTCTGGGGGCGATAAACACCGTGGCTGTGGCGCTGAGCCTTAGCCTGCAGGAGGCCATGTCGCAGGTATGTGTGATGATGTCTGGGTCGTCTGCGAGGTGCCTGCTAGGCCGGACGGCCCGAGTAGCTGCTGTGATACTCTTGCCTGTGTCAGTGTGGCTGATGCAGTTTGTCTCATCAATCGTTTTCTGCGCTGTGACCTTGGCAGGAGCCTTGGCATAAAAACAGTCCATTTTCCATTCTCTCCCCTCTTGCCCTTTTTTTTGCGAAATGCAGGTGCTCCATCCCGCGGCTAGCCAGTTCCTGATGGGATGTGGGACACCCGTGGCCGCCATGCTCTGTGCTTACCAACGCACCGCACTTGCCGTTGCTCAGGCGGCGGCCGTCGGCGCCGGTGCTGACTGCACTTCCGCCGCCACCGCTGCCAAACAGCACATGCTTGCCTCTCTTGAGCAGATTCCATTGCTTCGAAACTACAGCTACATGGTGCCGTACACTCCGGAGGAGGCGGCGGCGGTTGACTCTGCGACGGTGGAGTCCGACGCCGCACAGCCGGCTGACGGTCCTCCGATTGCTTCCGCGCCCCTGAGCGGCTCCCTCGAGCTGAGCCAGAGCTGGTGGGCGAGCGGAAGTAGCGTGGGCCTTAGTTTGAATGGACTCTCGCAACCGCTGCACAAGACAGCCAATGCACTTGTTCACGTTGAGGTGTGCGAGCCGTCCCTGGCGAACGGGCGATGGAGTGGGGAGGTTGACGGCTGGCGGCCGGCCTCGCGGCTGCTGCCGCTTGTGATGGGCCACGTTGCCTAACTTGTCGGGCCAATTGGCACTTGCATATTACATATCAAATATTGATGCTGCAACTGCGCGTTGGGACCTTAGTTACGCCGACTAAATTGATCTCCTCCTTAGACTTTGATGTTACTTAGGCAAGCTTAGATGTTAGATGTACGGTGCCAGCTCGGGACAGGTGTCAAATTGCAGGGAATATCCTTGACAGACAGATAGTATTTTTTCGGGATGTGTTGCTATTGCCGTCGAGAAGCAGGCTCTCGATGGAGATTTTGAGGGAGAGTGAGCAGAGTTTTGCAGGCACAGATGTAGCACCAAACAGAGCTTGGTATTGCTGGACAAGGCATATGAGAATATTTTTTCCAACTGTTCCCGCATATAAGAAACGAGGCTTTCCGTGATATTCCTAAGAAGCCGAGGACTAAGTGCAGACGAAAGGGCGATGATGCACAGCAAGCTCTTTCAGCCTGCAATTTGTCCAGTTGCCGCAAACGATGTGCCCCAAAACGAGCCAGTTTATCAGAATCGCCGGACTCAGGTCCTCAAAATAAGTATCTTGTGCCGTTCCCGGCAAAGATCCCAATACAATGAGACCTGGAAAGAAGAAGCTGCTAGCGCTCTGGTACTCCGAACGTTCTGTAAGATGCAATTCTGGGAGCTATTGACAGCTATTCTATCATAGTCGCTTTGAGGGTTGCATTATCACCATTGGCTACCTCTCAAAAGTGTGAGCGACCCAGGGGTCGCACGTGCTTGCTACTGGACATGGCACCGCAGCAAGTATTACGCCGCACAGTAACCGACGACTTAGGCGCTTGGGCCACAAACACTTATCCGGCGGGCTTAGAGCGCTTGCCCTGGGACGTGCTAGTCGGCGGAATGCCGTGTTACGGAACCGTTTCGAACTTCTTCGCTGGATGCGCGACCGCCGGCATTCCAGACGCCATCCTGGACACATATTCACACCGCCCTTCAGGATGGAACGTCCTCTTCGCAGCTGCTACCCAGATTCCCATCGGTGCCGCAAAAGCCCTGGGCTGCCGCTGTGAAGCAGCCACGCAGAGGGACACCAGCAGCAGCTGCAGCTGCGCCGGACACAGCAACACCAGTGCCAACACACACATAAAAATCGGTAGCGTGCTGTTTCGCGGTATCTTTGACCGGCTGGCCGGCTGTGATTTGGCACGCTGCCGGGCGGTCCACCCAACCTGGCGAGCGTGGCTGGATGAGACGACGTCCTCCTCGCCGCAGCCAACGACAGCGATGACGGCGACGCGGGACGTGGAACTCCGAGATGCAGGATGCAGCAGTGGCAGCGGAGTCGGGGCGCCGGTAACACGGCTGTGGCTGAACGCAGCTGTACGGGATCTAATGTTGTGCACCTGGCCGGGCTTCCAGCTGCAGATGGAGGAAGAAGCCTTGTGGTGCGATCGAACCCACCCCCTAGTGCTGCAACAGCAGCAAAGGCCAATCGTACCGAGGGTGGTGCAGGGGGAGCACTCCTGGCCGCTGTGTGGAGCGCTGGATTGGCCCTGGACCCGGGTCATGCAGGGTAAGGACACAGGTGCCGACGGAACTGCTAACTGCGGCTGCAGCGGCAGTGGCAGCAGCTGTGGAAGCTGCACTCCACACGCCCTTAGCCAGGGGGCCCCCAGTCAGGGGGCTCCTCGAGGCGAGCATCACCCCGGCGGCGGCTGCAGGACCTCTCTGGAACACTGTGGGGCTGCGGCGGCCCACTCACCCGGTGCTCCGCCACCAGGTAACACCCGCTGCACCACTGGTCACCAGCCACACCAACAGCAACAGCGCCCGGAGCAGCAAGCCTTGGCTTCAGGATCCGGCAGTCTGCAGATTCCCCCACAACGGATGTTGCGTGTCATTGTTCGCCGACCGCCGCCGCCACCGACCGACCACCGACTGCCTCCATTGCCGCTGCAGCTGCACGACTTTGCGCACCAACCTCAGTTTGGCGTTGCGGGGTCGCCCTGTGGTGGTGGTGCGGCATTTCGCTGGTATTCCCGGCTGCAGCGGCTCCTGAACACCACCCTAGAGATAGAGGCCGCGGAAGCGGGCCAGCCAGGTCACCGAACCTACTGCCATTACTTGGAGGCGGTGCTGCGGGAGAGGCAGATAGCTGCGCTCCATGCGCTGCAGCATGTGCCGCATGCGCTGCGCTTGGCAAGCAGTTACGTACAGGTAAGCACTTCGTGAACGGATGTACGAACGTGAAGGGTGTAGGAAGAGAGCGCGAACGATTTGCTTTGTGACTGGGGGCGTTAGGGAGATGCAGCGCTCTGAGGATGGTGAAGCACGCGAAGCACGGCGGATGTCACGCCGTGGATGTCAGGAACCTGTCAGGGGCTGTGAGGGGTCGCTGACAGGGCGGGTGGGTCCATGGGAAGGAGGACGCCCCCGCGCAATGGCTGTCCTGAAGCGACATGTCTTGGTCGACGCTTGGGACTTGTTTCTGAGAGTTGCTGACGCCATAGGTAACGTAACGTAATGTAATGTCGGTGCAGTGCGGTGCGATTCCGGTGCTTTGCAACCTACGCAAAATTTCCGAGCGCGTAGCGTGGAAAGGCTCTAGGTCCCATAAAATCTGGCATAGTGGACTCCGGCCTTCCGGACTGATGGGGACCACGGCCACCAGCGCGGCAACAAGGGCATCAAGAAGGGGAGAACAGCGCTGCCAGTCGAAAAGAAGCTGCGTGTCTGCTTTTCTCACAATCCCTTTTTGAGTCCGAACAAGTTACAAGTTACAAGTTCCGCACACAAGTGCGGGTGTGTCCGTAAAAGCCGGGGGGGCCATGGACGTTGCATTGGTATTGATGCGGGTACGCGGGAGGTCATTGGAGTCTTAACGCAGCTGGTCGAATACGCCGTATAGCATTGGGGTTTCGTGGCCACAGCAAATGGTATCTCCTGATCCAAACCGGGTGCCGTGCTGCCCTCAGCCCGTGGGTGCCGTACTTCAGCTACCAACTCCCGATGCCGTACAGTACGGCCATGTAGAGAGTGTTGATGCACGTGCATGCATACTGTGTATGCTGTGTGGGACAGGGGGCCACCCGTGGCCGCTACCCGGCGAAACCCTGCCTTCCCCGGTATTTCGGGGCACCCTCATCCAGTCACCCTAGTCAACTTCTCAGTGGATCGCCCAGGTTCCGCACCCACCACCAGCATCCAACGGAATCTGCCGGATCGACGGCGGCCCAACTCCATTCCTGGTCGGCTCGCAGGTTAACTTTATCCCAGGTCACCACCGTCCATCAGCTAGGGGCACTATACCTTCCACCATCGGAAGGATTTTCGACCCCCCTGACAGGTCTCGATCCCGTGATCTCCCGGGGGCAATGGTCCGTGCCTTACCAGTAGTACCTGATCTAAGTGTATTTCCGGTGTGTATGTGTGTATGTGTGGCCGTCCTCCCCTTCCGTGTGCAGGTTGGGCGGTACCTGCAGTCTGGAGGCGCCCATTGCGGTCGCTTCGGCACCACCCTGGAGCGAGCGGCCGAGCGACTGATGTGTATGTGTTCGGACGGCAGGGTGCTGCTTGATTGGGACATGTGCTGGTGAGGCATGGGGCAGGAGAAGGAAGGGGATGGGACGGGGTGCAAGAGGAGGCGGACCCTGCCGCATAGTGGTGAGGCATGATACAGGAGGGGCCGGAAGCTTTGGAAAGGTCGTTCTCGTGAAGGGGGGGATGGCGTGAGTTGACAATGCACCGTCAGGGGCACCTGCTCTTGTGTGTGTGTGGTGTTTGAGTAGGTCCCAGTTGTGTGGTTACCCTGGAGCAGATCCGTCCGTCCCGCGCGCTGCCAGCACGGAGTGAAACTGCTAGTTATTGAAGTGCAAGCGTTTGCTCGGGTGGGTCCCAACGTCGCCCTGATATACGTTTACCTTCCAGAGCTCATAACCGCTAACCGCATCGAAACCCCTCCTGTGATCCTGCCGTCCTCCTCCTCGTGCGCGACTCCGCAGGCAAGTCCTGGACGATGCTGGGGGCCATGCGGCCGCGCAGCTGAGCTCCGTGCGCTGCAGCCTGGCGCTCTACACACACGCAGCCGACCAGCACCTGGCCGACGTGTATGCGGCGATAGAGGCCGTTGCGTCCACCCTGGGCACGGCCGGGGAACTGCCGGGGCAGCAACACGTGCCGACGCTGGCGATTGTGGCATTGCAGATGCTTAGGCTGTTGCTGGTGGCGCGGCACTGGTTGCGGGCGTTGGCGGCCATGGTGCCGCGTTTGGGGGCACGACCGGCGTTGGCGGACTGTACTGACGCATGCAGTGCGGCGGGTGCGCTACAGGAGGCGGTTCGGAATGTGGCGGACTTGCTGGTGCAGGGGGAGCGGCTGTGGAGCGACATTGGGGAGCTGGAGCTGCGGAATGAAGCGACAGCAGTGGAGCAACGGCTGGCGCGGTTGGCGGGGGCGGAGGCGGGGGCTGCTGGGCGGGCTGAAGGGGAGGGAGGGGTCGCGTGATCGGTGCTGAGTTGGATGATCTACTGCATTTGCAGGTGTTGTGTTCATAGTTGGTTGGCATGTGCTGCTGTACCAAATCTGCGTTTCGTTTGTTGCGGAAAGGACGCGTATGGAAAGGAGTCCATTTGTTGATGGCATGGAACGTGAGAGGAGGAGTTGAGAGCATCGAGAAGTTGATCTATGTAGCATAGTAGTTCACTTACTGAGTGTTGTCTTATGCATTTTATGGCTGAGGGTTGCAGAGAAAAGTGAAAGATGCTTGCCAAGAAGCCTTGTGTTCAATCTATGCCATGGCAGCTGATTGGCTACACATGTATACGTGATGTGCCATATCGGCATTAGAAATTTTGCATCTCGCATTTCAAAGTTGTCGTGTGCGTTGTCGTGCACAGCATGAATGCATGATTTACGCAAAGCACGGCTTATCATGCACCTCCGTCCATCCTGCACAATCGTGATGACTACAATATTTGTCTTTTTATTAATTTATGTTACAAGTACCAGCAAATTTTCATTGCCAAGCTTGGGTCCAAGCCTGAGAATCTCAGGCGATAGGTTCCCCTGTGTTTGCATTTGTAAGGATTTCTTTGCAACGAGCTAAGAAAACCATAGGCGTGCCAATGGCCAAAGTTACAGGCATTGAAGGCATGAGCAAGGTGAGCACTTGTCCTGAGAAGTCTGCAGGCCAAGGTAGCGAAATTCCAGCGGTCTGCATCAATTTCTCGACAGGAACAACACCGACAACTTCGTCAAGAGTTGAGGGAGCAGAAACAAAACCTGCAGCGTGAGCTTCTGTTTTGCCGATTGCACGGTCGCGTGAAACGAGGGTTGGCTTTTCCCTATGGCCACGTTCATGTCTTCCGTATCGCAACAGGTAACAAGGAAGTGCTATGCGATATCAGTACCAACCGGCTGGACGAAGCGGTCAAGCGCCTTGAGCAAGTCCGAGAACGCGGTGACGCCTTAGGTACGGTGATACCACAGAAAATCGCCATGCGTGCACGCGAGCATCTGTCACAACCTGAAGGCACCCGCGTTCTTGGCCGCAGGCGATGCATTCCGCAAACCCAAAGACGTTTCAGTACAGGCGGAAATTTTCCGCACGTTGGCGGGTTATGGCGTGGAAGCTTCGAATAAGTTGGTCCAACAGCAACAAGTAGGTCTACCAGACCTAGCTGCAATGCATTAGATACCCCCGGATTAGGCCCGTCCAAAGCTCACTGGCCTTGCGTTAAATGATTCTGCGTGTGTCTGCAGGGTCGCGGGCCCCTGGAGTTAATCAGGGCTCTCCGTGCCAGGTTCGTGTACTCCAGCGATCCGCAGCGTGATGGTGAGACGAATCCCAGCGCGTTCAGCTGGTACGAGTTTGCCGCGGCCACTGAGCATTTGAGGCGGCCAGCACATGGTAAGTGGCACGCGCGCGCGTGTGTGTAGGTAAACGCCGACAACCCCGAGCAACACCGATTACTTGGCGACCCGGACAGCACTTGGCCTCTGTATGTATGTCGAAGTCACGGATATAACCATATCGCGGCGTGCACGGCGGTAATGCCAACCACGTTGCTGAGCTCCTATCTGCTGCCATCCGTGCCCGCTGGAGTCTGCATCGTTTGACTACCCAGAACATTGTGGCCAGACTGCTGGGAGGATCTTAATCCACAGCCTTATTGGCGAGCAATGCATTTCATGCACATGTTGCTGTGACTACCACCATGCTTTTTGAGATGTCTACGTTGGCCGACCGACCCTATCTGCGCGGCCATCAGGCGCACACTGCTTAATAGGGGCCCTGGACGTGAAGCCGAAGGAGCGGAAGGCGCCTGTACAACGCCAGAAGCGCCCGGTAGGCTTGGGTCTGGGGGCCCGGGTAGGGCACATGTTGCCTTTGGGGGCACATGTGCTACACACCACATGCAACTGACATCCAGCCACTCGGGGCTGATGATGCTAGGGGTGAAGAAGCATAGGTGGTGCCGGCGCAAGTGAAGGTGGTACACTGCATTCGGGGGATGGAAGCCATGTGGGCGGATGATCCCTTCCAGGAAAGTACTTTCTTGCCCACAAAAAGGTTTTGTCTTTGTCGCTTGAGTGTATTTCGATGCTGGTTGTGCAGTTTGTGTGTGATGTGGCGCTTCCTACAGCCCTATGTGACTTGACTCACTCCTACAGCGTCCAGTGTTGTGCCAGCGGTGTATGTCTGGACGTCTCTCGGGTATCCGCGTACCCACATTCGTACCCACCCATTAGCGACGGAAAAGGGGTTTGGCTAGCTTTGTATCGGGCTTGGCCCCCACACTTCCTCCCGTCTTGGCACCCCCCTCCCCCAACATTGGATTCGGAATCTTTGGTCGTGCTCCTCTCCGCGTTTCCCTCCCATCCCACCCTGTTTCTAGGAGCTGGAGGTCTTACAAAGGCCCGAGGTGCATATTGCCATGCCTGTGGAGGACAAGAAGGAGACCGACCGCAATATGGAGACCATGTGGACCATTGTCAAGGCGCAAGCGGAGCCGGAGGTAAGAACCCCTTCGCCCCTTCGTCGGCTGCACCGGCTGCGGAGAGTGGCCTGGGCGACTCGTTAGCTCGACAACTGGGCGACTCGTTAGCTCGACAACTACGCATTGAACCGAGCCCCGGCGGCATCTGACGCTTTAACGTTTCATTTTGCTGGAGCTGCTGTAGTCAGGGCAGCGCTTGCTTTGCCTTTGCCATGCGTATCACGTTTTGTTGGTAGTTATGGTACGGTCACCTGAATTTGAGGACGGTAGAGCGGTAGTACTGTCGCGCAACTGGACAGCGAAAAGCTCCTGTGTTTTTTGAAAGAGAGTTCAATGGACGTGACGAAGGGATCTGTGACAAGAAGCTTAGGCCACAACAACATATGGTCAGCACCATATGAACGAAAAGTTATCAGCTACAGAAACTGCATTGGGCCAAGCACGATTATTGGAATATATTACGTCCCACCGGACGTCGACCTCGCCGCATATCCTAGGCCCCCATCTGGTCGCATGCAGCCGCCCGTGTGGCGGCTGCTTTCTTGCCCCGCAGTTATCTTCTCCTCTTACCTCCTGCGCTGTCAGTTACCCACTGCACGTAATGCCTTTCGGCGGTCAGTCAGTTGGTAAGAAGTCTTCGCCGCAGTGAGGGGGCCCGAACCGGCATTCGCCGATGACCCGAATGGGCTACTGGACCGCCGTCTCCCACGCGCGTTAAGACCCTCAGGTGGCCCCCCCCAAGTAGTTGGCACCGCAGAGAGACCCACGGGGTGGGGGGTTTACCACCTCTTGACCATTTGAACCATGCATCTGTGTGTGTGAGAGAGAGTGAGCGAGCAGCCCATGTTCTGTTGTGGCCACCGCAGCACCGCCATTGACTTCGCCCCTCGGTCTGATGGCGTGACGTGACAGGTCGATCGTCTTCTGATGCCCTTTACCTGGGTCGCCCGCATTTCCCCCGCCTCCCCTAACCTTGCCGCCCCTCCCGGGTTCTTCCCCCACAACACACATCGCGGCGTTCGGAGCTCAGGTCCAGGTTGCGAAGCTGGTCTGCAACCACGCCTCGTTCGGACAGACGCTGGAGAACTTATTCACGCTGTCCTTCCTGGTGCGCGACAACCGAGTCGGCATGAAGAAGGTGCCGGGCGCCGGCCTGCTCGTGTGGGCCCTGGACCCCAGGCGGGGAGATGCCGCGGGGAGGCAGCAGAAGCCACCACTGCAGTTCGTGGTCACCGTGAGTGCTGGTGTTGGTGTTGGTGCATGTATGGGGGCACAGTACAGGGCTCACCTTGTTTTGACATGCTGAACTTGTTTGCGATACCGCCAGCCTTTACGGGTCGATCGCATGTTTTAAGATTCATTGTTTAGTGCGGGGTGAGGGTGGGAGTGCATGAAACATGACGTCCAATAAAGCTGTGAAAGGGGCCTTGAGCTGTGGCGGCGATGCAGCTAACACGTCCAAGGGAGTCAACTGATTGCTGGTGCCGGTATGTGTTGTGTTGACATCGAATGAAGGTCATGCAACCCTTCCCCCGGCCGGGGTCCTCCCTTCGTTGCTTCCCGCGTCATTGCAGTTGCATATCGATGACTGGGTCAAGATGTGTTCGCGCGTCACACCGGAGGAGTGCCTCATGCCGCACCGGGACTACGGCATGACGAAAGACCAGTCGACAGCGGCGACTGGGAAGCGGCGGCAGAGCGCTGCAGCAGATGGACCCTCGACCACCAAAAAGGCCCGGCTCGGACGGTGACCTATTGCACCCTATCTTGCCAAGGAATGGAACATTTGCGCTGCGATGATGCAATTACCATCATGTGTTGTGTTGGGGTCGGTTGCTGTAAATAATCAAAATTTAGTGAATGCATCCTAGCAAGGCCTATCCTAGGTCTATGCGGGTGGAGATGTATGACATGGGCCAGCGATGTCTTGGCTCATTCACGTGTGACTGCGCAGCTGTACTAAGCTGTCACAAGTTTAGAGGCTCTTAAGAAGGCGTTTAAAATATGGAACCTGTTAATGTGCAATCGGACGAATTGTTGTGCATAGTGGGAACCACGCTTCTTCAACCGCGTCTTACGCTGCGCTCCCCAAAGGACACGAGTGGATGTGCGCGATGCAGTTGGTGTCTTGCCTGGTGCCCAGAGGTCCCTGTCCTCCGGAGTCCCAACCATGCGATGGGTGTTGATTACGTGCGTTGTATCGCAGGGGACGGGTGTTTTGTTGCTTCGATTGTTTGGACATATGGACATACATGCATTGACTCGGAGCGGGTTGTACACTTCTCAATAGGACGGCATGTGTGCTGTGTCCTTGTTGTATAGCTTGTCTGCAGCAACCTGCATCTCAATCGGTATGCAATTGGTACTTGGAGCTGTCTTGAGTTGCCCTGCAGGTCCACAGCTGCTTTGCCAGGCAGGGTAAGACATGTGAGGCCGATAAGTTAAAGGATGCTAGAATGTTGGCCGTTTGGCACCACTTACATTGGGAGCTATGAGAAGCGAGGCCGACACTGTAAATATTTTCCATATGGGCAAGGGCGTCTGCGTCGTTGAGTACGACCGCATGGCGTGTCATTTCTCCTGGTCATGCTGAGCTGCCCGGACAGTCAGCTTGCAGCATTTCGCAAAGGGTAGAGATCCACGTGCAGTTCACAGTTTTATATTAAGAATTGCCAGCCGGACGAATACAATGTGGTGTGCGAGCAAGTGCGGCATCATCATCATCTTACCACAGGCCACCGCTGTTGCCCTCCGCTGCTGCAACCAGGGGCTGCTCTGCTGCCTTCCTAGCCGCAACGGTTTGGCGGTAACCGTGGGACATCAGTTACCGGAAGTTGACATCTGAAAACGTAACACGTGAGGTAGAACGATTGTGCAGGGCACCTTCCCCTGCTTTCGAGGCAACATGCATTTCGCTGCCCTACGAAGGGGCGGCCTTCAGAGCGAGACAGCATTTGTTGTTGCAACGTTGCCTCGTCGAAGGGCAGCTTCGCGGAACGGAAGCTGTTATCTACAGGGATTCCATCGGATGACCTGCAGGGACAACAGCAGTTACTGAGAACATATTCCTGGGATAGGCTATCATACGACGAGGCATGTGCCAGCTTAAGAGTGCATGAGTAATCTGTTAGCATGACCCGCCCAATGGATCTTGAAGCGCAAGGGCGATTTTCCCGACCCGCCCGCATGGCTGCTCCCTCCTAGTCTGACAGACGCGATACGCTTTCCTTCCCAGCTACGCTGGTTCCTGGAACTTGACCAGGCTGGGATGAACTTACCGTCCTTAAAGGTATATCATCCTATAGATACATTCATCATGGTGGCATTTATGGTTTCCTTACGTTCTTGGCATGGCCGAATCCGCGCGAATCAACGTATTCGTACTCTACAGCTTTGCTACAGCTGTGCCCTGTCAACTCATGCATTTGGATGGATAGTTTGGTCCGCCACCGCCTCTGAGCGCGTGTTGTTAATGTAACCGCTGCTACGTCAAGCTGATACGTTTTACGTTTTACGTTTACAAGCTTCAAGCTTGTACGGTCCAGACGAGCCAAAAGGCTCATGAACCGCCAAACTGGAAACAGGAACTCAAAAAAGAAAAACGCCGATACCCAACAATAACAGATTGATTAATCTTCAACGTACTGCAACCTGCATCTTCTAATGTCGTCCAAGACGCGCGCTAACCCGCGTTGATCCTTGACGCCCATAATCTCGATCATGCGGTCCCCAGGAGTAACCCCCAGGTCCCAAAGCTTCAAACGGATATTCGCATACGCAGGACAATCTAGCAGCACATGGCATTCATCTTCAACAGCTTGCCGGTTCCCACAGACCCGGCACCACCGGGCAGACCGTTCCCTACCGTGCGGTCGATTAACCGCCAAAGGCCAAACACACATCCTGAAACGCATCAGCGTGACGTGCTGTTTTGGCGAGATATAGCCGCTGCCATGCTTGGGCAAACCCATCCAATGCTTATAGCGGCACATCTTTACCCCTGGTTGCCTGTTTAAGCTGATTGATATCCATCTTGGGTTGGCAACCCAGATTGGGAGCCTGGTTGGCAACGCCGCGCCCTCGAACACCGCAATCATCCAGCCCCCAAAATGCCTTCATATCGCTAAGCTTGCGCATATAACAAGGTTCATCGTCGTGCCTTATCACTAGAAATTGCGCCCTCAGCATTCCTAGCTGTCGTAGTGGCCTGAGTAGCGCCACCGAAATCTATACTGTGACCACACGTCAAAGGTGTCGTTTCCCCATGTCCTCCAATTGGCTTTTCAATAAAAGACCATTCGCGCCTGAGGGTACGGTGATGCGGTGGTTTGTACGGTACAGTACTAACACGACATTGCACACGCAGCTGCAGGCGAGCACCTGATCGGCTCGAACTATTGGTTTGTCTGAATGCCCCCTGCTTTACCGATTGCTATACCTAGCTACTGATATTTTTAGCTAAATGACAGCCGTTATCATATCGCTCGGTTAGCAAAGCCTCGACAACAGCTACGATACTCATTGCAATCTCTTTTTCCTCGCAAGTCAAGAAACAGGATAATACAATAAACCTGAGACGTATCTAGGCACAAAGTATGGCGAGTGCGCTTGCAGCTGCTGGTCATAGGGACGCAATTAGCAACTGGACTGTGGGAAACCAAGTTGCCTTCCGAACACAGAGTGGCGAGGAGGTGTCAGGCTGCGTGTTCGCGTTTGATCGTCAAACCAACCTACTGGTCATCAAGGAGAATGGATCGCACTCTGGAGTATCTAATCTTCGCTTAGTAAAGGCCACCAGTGTTCGTGAAGTCTTGTCCTCAGTTCAGCCTGAGAAACCTTTCGATCTGGAACTACCGCATGTGGACTTGGAGCGGTGCAGAAAGCGCGAGGAGAAGGCGTTGCAGCAAGCTGAGATGGAATCAGCGCGGGTAGGGCACGGCGTCACGAAAGAGGCGCAGGCGATTTTCGATGCGCTTGTGAAGACCATGCCCTGCGTCTGGCGGAACAAGGTGCGTTGAAAGAAGCGACATTATGCGCATGACTGCTTTCTTCCCGTCAGGATTTCCAAGCATCTGCGTCCGCCATCTTGTTCACGCTTCCAGGTTATCGTTGTGCTGGACTCCGTCTACGTGGAGGAGCCGTACACCCCAGACACGTGCCGGTCCGATAACGAGCATGCGGCCACCCGTGAACGCGTGAAGATGGTCCTGCGATTGGAGAGGGAGCGGCTCGGCTTGTGAGCGGGGGTTGTTCCGGGTCTTTGAAATGTGCCGGAGGCCCGAGCCATTCCCTACCCAACCCACCCAGTATTAGCAGCTGCAGGCGCGGCAGCTGGCAGAAAGCCATAAGCCACATGTTGACTGAAGCCGGGTCGCAGCAGGCGGGAGGGTAAGGGGGCCGCGAAAAAGGCTTATCTACCGGGGCAGACTACATACAGCCCTGAGGAGTTCCGGAACCAGCGATCCCAGGCGGCCCTGCTGGCTCTGGCTCTTACGAAGAGTCCCACATGCCGAGCCCGCTGGTTAGGACCTCCCCCTCTGACGCAGCTATGTTGGTTCGGCTGATCTTGTTGTGGAGTCTGAACCAACCGGGCGGAATGCAGGCGTAGCATGTGCCTGGTTCGCCTGATTTGGTACCTCTGGCGCCGGCCAGATGCAGGGCGGAGCAAGTACTGTGACTGTGCTCCAGGCTGCTGCCTGGCTGTCCCCCCAAGCGGAAGGGGCCACGGGGGCTGGCGTGGAAAACGCCTCTGGCCAGTATGGCTTCCCGCGGTGTTGAGAACGCCACGTCGAGGACGCGCCGCAGCGTTGCGGGTAACACTGAGAACACCCACGGCACGGGTGTCTCAGTTGGGGGGTGTTCAGTGACCGTGTGGGACCATGTGGCTGGATGGGTCCCGTGTCGGTTCGTGCTCCAGGTAACCCGGAGTCTGGTTCAGTGGCGCGAGGCCGGCAGGCGCCTTGCTTGCGAAACTTGCCTTGCGAGCTTGTGTATGTGTGCGTACCATGTGTGCGATGCGAGCTTACACGGTGGCTTGCGGCAATCAAGCCAAAGGGGTGCGTGTGTGTGCGCTGATGTGGTCGCGTTGAACTCTTGGGCGCCGCTGCCAGCCTGCCGTACTCGCTTGCGCACATAACAACGGGCAGCTCAGCGCGTGTTCGTGCTGGGCAGAAAGTTGACATGCTGGGTGTGTGTGTCTGTGAGAATGCTTCCCAACTTTATGTTGCTTTGGCGTTGGGAAAAAAGGGATAGCGAACAATTAATTTTGCTCGGGCGTTTTCGCCCTTTTTGGCTTAGGCACGTTGTTCCGTGCCGCTGCCGCCGTCAGCCCCGCCGGCCACGAGAGCCGCTAGAGGCCAGAGTTCCGTTTGCGAGGGGGGGTTAGGATGGCGGCCGCGCCTTCCGGCGCACAAACAGTACGTGGGGACACGGCAGCAGAGCTCTGCTCGGGGATAGGAGATGGTGGGTGAGTGGGTGACGCTTTGCGTTGACGGCGGTGCGGAAGTAGTGGGTAGAGAAGGGCACTGACGGCTGTTGGTAGAGCCAGCAGGAAGGATAGGTGAAGGAACTGATGGCCACCCGCGTGCTGGGGGGATTATGGTGGGCGCGGCGGTTTGGTGGAGGAAGGGGGAAGAATCGCTGCGCCCTAGAGCACGCATGAGAAGAGGATGGGTCCTGCAAGAGAGGGGGCTGTGTAGACAGACACAGGGTGGTGGGGAGGATGGGGAGGATGGCGTTGGTCCGCTGCTTACGGCGGTGTTGGATGGATGTAGAGCAGGTGCATTAGACGAGGCGTTGCGTGTCGCGTGGAACGACGAGAATGGTTGGCAAGGGATTGTTCCAGTAAGCTTAGGAAACTGGCAGTTTGACGTTCGGTTGTAGCTCGGATGCTGCTGCTTGGGGGTTTACTGGCTGCAATCACTTGCTGCGATGACCTTCTCTGTGTCCGGACAAGTATGGCTTGGTGGCAGCTGCGCGATGAGGGGCAGCACAAAAGACAGGGCTCCCGTGGTGTGGATTTAGCACCACAAACACGGTTTTGCGTGTGGCGTCTGCTGCTGCTGCTGCTGCTACTATTAATACTAATTGAGCCGTGCGTGGTCAGCTCGAAAAACGAGTCGGGCCGTGCGGGGCGGTGTGGTGTGGAAGGGCGGCGAGGAGTCCTGCCGAACCCGGTATTTGGCTGCACAAATTGTTACTGGGGACATGTCTGTCTCTCACGACTGTCGGCAGGGACCGTGAGGGGATCGGAGGCAGGCACGGCATCCTTAAGGTATAAGGTTGAGGCAAGGGGTGGTGGCCCGAACGCCGGGGTGGAGCGGCTCTGCAGGCGAATAATGGCAAAGGGATAAGGACGCCCGATTTGCTTGCGGAGCTCAATGGGGCTGTAGCTGTCTCCTTTGTGCAAAAGTCTCAGCATTTCAGAAGGTTCGATGATTAGATCTGTTTCACCTCATTGGGCACGGCAGGAGGGGGCAGCAAGGCAGGCGCTCTCTCCTCGACACGATAGGTGAGGGGATCCAAAAAACAAACTTGGGACTGCCGGACACATGGTCTAGATGCAACCATGTGCAAATCAGGGCAAGAAGCCGGTGTTGGAAAGTAACCTAAAGTTAATGAAAAGGCTACAAAACAGGGATTGATCAACCGCAGCCGTACGGATAGTGATCGAAGTGTTCGAAACCTCAATCTTCAGTTCATGTAGGTACGGCAAGCATTTCGTCCTATAAATTCATTTATCATGTAGCTGAAATTTTTGACCTTAGGCAATCTTACAGTCGTGAGAAACGATGTCGGCGATCCGCAACCAAAAGCCTTTCCAGGCACATCGTTCTGTCACGCGCCGGCCATCCGTCCGTTCCTATGCTGCTGCAAAGCTTTACAGTAATCCTGCCAGCCGCGGTCGGATCATTGAATGGTATATTCAGGAGCTGGGCGTTGCGGGTGATGTCAATGTTGTGAATCTTGATATGCGCGAACAGCGTGAACATAAGTCGGATTGGTTCAAGCAGGTAAAATAAAAAGAAGACATACAAGTTAGAGGGCGGTAATTGGGTCATCGCACATCTTCTTGTGTTTCGTGCATGGCAGGTTAACCCGTTTGGCAAGATTCCAGCCCTAGAGGACGGCGATCTCAAGCTGGTGGGTGGGGCGAAAAGTTAGGTTTAGAGTGGTAGGAAGAAGAGACTCATGATTATGCAGGTATGCAGATGGGCGTGCCAATGTCGTCTTCGGGATATGGATCTTGCGGGGTAGAGGGAGTTACTCAAGGAGACGACTTAAACCGCTGTTTTGCAACAAATCCTGGGCTCGTGTTTTCCTCCTCACTTTCCCACGTCCCATTCCTACAAACACCATCGCCTTCGCTTGCACCATGGCAAGTCACTTCCTTGATTCCCCCTGCAACTTCTTATTGTTTGCGGCTTCCGAGTCCTCCCCAGCTGCACCGCTGCCCCTGGGCTCCCCTCGCTCCATTCCCACTGCCCGTCGGACACCCCCACTGCCCCGTCGGACACTCCCACTGCCCCGTTGGGCTCCCTCGACGCACTGACGTTCTGCCTCCGCAGTTCGAGAGCGGCGCCATCCTGCTATATCTGGCTGAAAAGTACGGCGAGCTCCGTACTCCCTCTCAGCGGGCGCGTGCAGCTCAGTGGACGCTGTTCGCCAACAGCACCATGACACAAGCCGTGTTCGTGGAGCAGGTGAATGAGCGTGTGAGGGTGGTGGCGTGAGTGAGCGTGTGACCGTGCACGCGGCCAGGTGGGTGGAGTTAGGATGTTTTCCACAGTTGATGGGTCCCCCGAACAGAAGTGGATTGATCTATCCTTTGGGCAATGCCGTACTCCCTGCCTTCTGTAGTCCGCTCCATTACCATTGCTGATCATGCCCCGCCCCGGCCCTTTTTTGCAGTGGCGCGAGCGGTCCATGCCGGATCTGTTCCGTACATTGGACGAGCTGCTGTCGCGCCAAGAATACATCGAGGGCGATTCCTTCAGCGTGTCGGATGTGGCTGTTGGTGCCTACTTGCTCTACATCCCCGCTTTCTTTCCGCAGGTGTGTCAGCATGCATGTATGTGTGTTTGTTGGGTGTTTGTTGGGTGTGTGTTGGGTGGGAATCTGCGTGCGTATGTCTGTGTCTGAGAGGAAAGAGGAGCGGGGTGAAGGTTGACGAGGTTTGAGGTTGGGCCCGGGGTCCTGGCATGCTTGGCTGATAGGCGGATGGGCGGCGATATGTATGTATATCATCATCATGCGTATGCGCATGTCCCTAACTCAGCTCGCTTGGCTCTGATCTCCTTGGTTCCAGGCGGATCCCGACCAACTAAATTAACCAACTAACACGTGATCCTTAGGTTGCTCGCCCTCCTCCACCGACCCACATCAGCCATTATCCCACACACACCCCGACGTGCACAGGGACACCCTGGTTCGCCAAAGTACGATTTGGGTCCTGGGTGAAGTCATCCACCGCTCCCACATCCGTCCGCCGGTTCCCCTGCGCCCCCTCCCGCATTCCCCCCACTCCCACCCCACCGCAGCTCGACCTGAGTCCCTATCCCAATGTGCTGGCCTACATGAAGAGGTGAGGACCGAAAAGAGTCAACCACCACCTCACGCCTCAACCGCGGCTGTTGTAGCAGCACATATACAATACTGAAGCGGCGTTAGAAAACCACCGCCGTGTGACAGTCAACAGGAAAGCGACCCAGGGCCGTTCCGGGCTGGGCACATCGACCTCCTGCTGTTGGTAGTGTTCATCCATTCAGTAACGCATGTGACTGTCTTACACATGTTTCTTTGCATTGCGCCATGTGGCTCTCGTTATGTGTCGCTATCTCCGATGCCAGCAGCCACCGATGGACTCAGGTGGCTCAGATGTTCTGATCTGCGTTCACATGTCGGGGTCCACAATCCGTGCCACATGGCCAATTAGGAAGCTAGCGAACTCACTCCCCATAAGAGCGTAGGCTTGCCGTTGGTGCCGTAAGAACCATGCAGCTCCATCGCTCTTCCCCTCCGCTGCCAAAGTCGTTGAAGTTTTCTTCCCGCTCCGCTCCTTCGTGCTGTGCTCCCCCTTTCCTTCCTGGTAGGATGTCGGAGCGCCCCGCGTGCGCGGCCACTGTGGCTGCCAGGGCGACGCAGAAGAAGACCGAGGAGGTGGCCCCTGTCCATACCAAGGCGTGATGCTGAGGTGGACCCAGCTGCGCTGCTAGGAGGGATCTGTTTTTACAAGCATGGTTACTTTATGTACTTGTAGAGCTGGGCGATTTGGTCGTTTGTGATGGTCAAAATATGCATTCAGCTGGATTTCCCTAAGTCCTTGGACTGTGGCTCTCGGGACACGAACTTGTACGCTGCACGGCCCGCGTTGAAGGTTGCGTATCCGGCGATACCTATTGCGGCGACCAGCATGAGTCCCGCTGTAATGCGGACTGCTCGAGTGTGTCTCCGGAAGCCGTTCGAGGTTGGTTCGAACAAGCCGGACATTTTTGCTTTGCCCTCCGTCCGAAAGGAAGCAGCAACAGTGCAGGCATTGTGCTGGTAAATTTGACGTGTAAAATTTAAGGTACCGGTACCGTTGTGTACGGTAGGTTGATTAGATGAATTCGCATGCTTGCGGGTAAAAAATGCTTATAAGCATACGTATACGCCATGAATGGTCAATATCCCGCTATATGCTTAATCGATTACCGTTGTTGAAGCAGGATGCTATCCCGGAACGATTACAGTCGGCTAATAAACGCGGAGGCCAACTCAAAGGGGCTGAAATTACTGGAGGTGCGGCCAAGGACACTGCCAGCAAGCTATGATTGTGATGCAAAAACCGGCAGCGATAACGACCAGCAGTTATATGCCTAACAACACCCGCAGAACCTATGCAGAGACCTCCTGACAGCAGGACCTGAGAGTTTGACCATAATTGCAAAGGGTAGCAACCTCGCACATTGCCTGGTTGAGCTATTGATACGAGAGGCCCGCAAAACTTTGCGCACGCGTGGTACGGCAGGTACGACCAGGTATCTGCTGCATAGCTCAGCTTGTCCCCCATCCACAAACTGTTCATTCCGCCCATTCCCTTATGCACCCACTTCCCCACGAAGCCGGAGGAGCCCCTTCATACTGCTTCCTTTAACCTCCGCAGCATTTTAACCTCCGCAGCGATAAAGAGGCATTTCGTTGCTCTTTGCCTCCTCCCATGGTTTCCTCCTCTACCCCAACACCAGACTGAAGCCCGCCGCCGCGCTCCGGGGACTGTGCAGGTCTGGGCGGTGGGGGAGGGAAGGTGGACCAGTCTGAGGGCGGCTGCAGGTGTTCAACAGAACCAGCTCCAGCTCCTGGGAGGAAGCTGAAAGCGGACTTAATAACAAACGACAGCGCGGACCCCACTCCTGGTTGCGGTTTAGGCCTGAGCAGGGCGTGGGACCTAGGCCGCCTAGCCAGCACTAAGCGCCGTAGCAACAGCAGTAACCGTATTAGCAGTACAAGCAGAAGCAGTGGCAGCGACTCCACTGATGAAAGAAATAGTGACGTCAGCACTAACAGCAGTAGCAATGCTGATGCCAGCAGCAGCGCCGGCAGTAGCAGCAGCGAGGGCAGCGATGCCGAGGGGGTCCGCTTGGGAAGCCGGACAAGGACGGGGTCTAGGGCTTCCACTCATGCCGGTCCACGTGGTGCACGATGTACGGCGTTCTGGCGGCTGGTTTTGTTCGCTTGCCGTACACTGGCGTTGCTGCCCGAGGGGAGGCAGGTGCGTGTGTGTGTGTCATATGCGTGAAGGTTGCAAGTACCTGACCGGGCCTGACACTGGCCAGGGGCTGCTGCCCAGCCCCAACGGAAAGGCCGCCTGAGCTCTCTCCCGCGGACGGGAGAGGGGCGCGCGGCGCCGCTGTCCCCTCCCCCTAAGCAGCTGAGAGCCGCAGGTCCGCTAGCTCCGCTCCCCCTCGCCCGGAGCGGATGAAGGCATCGCACGCGGCGCATGCTCTCACGAGTCAAGGCTCCGCCACGCGAGTTCGCACACTGCGCCTGAAACACGCAACAAGACTCCTCTCCAACCTCGGCCTCATCCGGCTCTCGGGGTGGGGGTTCACGAAGACACAGGAAACCCGGAAACCCCGCTCAGACCCTACCCATCCCCTCTCCGGACATGTACGTCAACCTTCCCCTCAAGGCATTTATTAAATTAACAAGGAGTTAGGATAACGGTTAATGATTGCGGCATCAAACCCCGAGAAACAATCAAGATCTTTTCACCGCTTATGGCCCAACATCAGTACCGTGGTGCCATCACTCCCTCATCTGTGCCTGAGCACCCTCGTCGCCTGGCGCAGACACTTCCTCTACCAGGTGCCACCCACTGCCCACTGCCGCCACATCGAGCCGCGGTGCTGTCGCCCGAAGCTGATGTGTCCTGCTCCCTAGCACACCCAGAAGTACATACATACATACATACATACATACATACATACATACGACCCTTGCGCTGTGTTTCGGCTTCGGCCCCCGGCCCCCGGCTCTCGCGGCCCACAGTGTAATCTGAGTCATACATACATACGCAAATTCAAAAAGGGATACTCGCACATTTGCACTCGCAGGCCCTAATCTCCAGTGGCGCTGTCCCGCCGCTGCTGACGGCCCTTGTAGAGCACCTCGACGTGGGGCGGGAGGGGGCGAAGTGGGCGGAGGAAAAGGGGCCCCCGGAGGCGACTACCGGTACCTGTGGCAGCAGAGACCATACAGGCGGTGGGGGCGGGGGACTTTCGGAAACGCGGCGTGCTGGAGGACCTGTAGACGTGGTCTCGGAGCGCTGGAGAGACGACCCGCAGCTGCCGACGGTGAAGCGGCGACGCCTGGCGGCGTGTGGTTCCGGAGCGGATCCTCCGGTGCTGCCGCCGCTACCGCCGCCGTCGACGTGGCCTTCCCCCGGCTCTTGGACCGACGTCGGCGGCATTCCGCTCCCGCTACTTCTTTACGGCAGTAGCCCGCAGCAGCACCTGCCGTACCATGGCCATCTCCACCGAGTGCTACTGCGGCGGCTACGATGTCCCCGTCTGGCCGAGAAATTGCAGCTACTGCTGGATCTGATGTTGGACGAGCAGACGACTGCCGTACAGGCAGGGGGGCTTGATGGGAGGAAGAAGGGGGTGTCAGCGGCGGCGGCATCTTGCCCCTCTCTGGATATCGGCGGCGACGGCAGCAACAGCGGCAGCTTCAAGGTGGTGCGAGACGGCTGTAGCAGCGACGGGGCTGCCGCCGTGGGTATGAACGGGGTTCCGCCGCCGCCGCCGCCGCCGCCGCCATCAGCGCCGCCGATAGCGCAGCTGCAGCTACAGCAGGATCTCGACGAGGTGGCGGAGGGGGAGGAGCCGCATCTGCAGTTGGTGGGCTGGCGGCAAGCTGTAGCAGCGCTGCCTGTGGCGCAGCAGGTAAAGGTGTGCGCATGCACGTATGTACGTATGCATGTCTGAGTACAATCTCTTAGGACTGAGTCGCCGGGGACCATACGGGAGACGGGGCACATGGAGTAGTGACACGCCTGACGTGTCTCCAACTGCAACCTCGCTAATGCGATTGCATCCTTACGTTTACGAATTTTCGGGCGTGCGGAAACGGCATATAGGCGTGGCGTACGGCGCGACATGCAACACTGGCGGAGCTGGCGGGCGGCGATAACGACGGCGGCGTCGCTGCCGCCGCCTCTTCCCTGGCGCAGCCGCCACCGCCGCCGCCGCCGCCACCGGCGGTTCTCCGTGACCTAGCGAGTCTGGTGATGCTGTTGGCGGACGCCGCCGCCGCCGGTGCCGCCGCCGCTTCCGGAGAAACCGTTGGGGCGATTGCGGAGCCGCCGGAGTCTGAATCTGGTTGGATGAGACGTCGTGATGGTGCGGTCCGTGTTGGTGTTGTCTCCCCGGGGGAAGTGGATGTGGTTCCGGAGAGGGGTGCGGCGCTGGAGGAGGGATGGGGGACGGTAGGCGCCGCCAGTGGCGCCTGGTTACCCTACGGCAGCAGCAGCAGCAGCACCACCACCACCACTGGGGGAAGCGGCCGCTGGAGCCTGCTACGGCCCGCCCAGTGGCGGCACCTGTTGACGGACTACTGGGAAATGCGGCCGCTGCTACTGCCGCTGCAGCACCGGCACCTGAACCCCTGCTACGGCCGAAGTTGTCCACCGGGGTGTGTGACCGGTGGTGGAACATCAACCGCTTGGCTGGGGGCTGTACGGCATGTGGATGAGCACGTACGGAAACTTCAGGTGATGGAAGCGGCTGTAGCAAAGTTGCCGCAGGGACCCCGGCTTGTGGATCATACACGGGCTCTCGGGATATCGGAATCCCGACCTGCTATAATGTACGACAGAATTTTCGATGCAGATGCCGTACAGTACGGCGACGCCGACGGCGGCAGTGGCGGAGCTGCCCTTCTGACTGCCAGTTCTCTGATGCGTCTTCTCCTTCCCGCAAGTTGCCACTGCCCCGTCATGGCCTCAGCTGACCGCCGACTACTGCCGTACGTACGGCAGGCACGCAGCACGATATTGCCGTACATGGTCGACAGGGTGGATGTGGACCTTGTAAAGGGTGGCTCCGAGCGCTTCACCGCGACTGCTGTACCTACCACCGCCGCTACAGCCCCGCCCGCCGCCCACTCGCCGCCCGCTGGGGTTGCTACGGATTGGGTAGCGGCGCCGCCGCCGCCACTAGCACCCGCCGCGGTGACGACGGCGGAGTGCCGTACAGCCCTTGGGTCAGGATTCACAACTGTGCTCCGGGCAGCGGGAACACGGAGTGTCCAACTGTGTGCCGTACAGGCACGTCCATGTGGGGGGAGGGATCGAGCGGGCCTTAACTGTCACAGCCTCTCCCCCCTCCGCATCAGCCCCTCCTCGGTCGGGGCTAAATATCCGCACCGGGCTGGGCCCCCGCTAACACACACACACACACACTCTCTCTCTCTCTACCCAATCCCCCCAGGACGACATGGAGTGGCTCCTAGGGCTACCCGCCGGGGCGAATGTGTACGGCAGTCCCCCCGGTGGGTGCCGGGTGGTGGGGAGGGGAGGTGGGGAGGCAAAACACATCCGAGTAAGTAGTAATGCAAGCAGCAAGATCACAACATACATACATGTCTAATACTGGTAACGCGCAACCATTGCCCCCGGGAGATTCTGGAATCGAGACCTGTCACGGTCGAAAATCCTTCCGATGGTGGACGGTGCCCCTAGTTGATGGACGGTGGTGACCTGGGATAAAGTTAACCCGCGAGCCGACCAGGAATGGAGTTGGGCCGCTGTCGACCCGGCAGATTCCGTTGGATGCTGGTGGTGGGTGCGGAACCTGAGCGATCCACTGAGAAGTTGACTAGGGTGACTGGATGAGGGTGCCCCGAAATACCGGGGAAGGCAGGGTTTCGCAGGTAGCTGCCACAGGCGAAGATATACCCCCCTGTTTCACACATCATATATAATGACCGATGACAGAGACAGATGACAGACAGACAGATGACAGACAGACAGACGCACGTCTGGGACACCACCCTTGCAGGCCGCCAAGGTCTAGCCGCCCACTACGACGACCACTGCGTGCTGGTGCTGCAGCTGCAGGGCGCCAAGGAGTGGCTGCTACAGCCGCCACGGCTACTGCCGGCGCAGCTGCTCCCTCTCACCTATTGCCCCCGCCTGCCGCTGGGGCCCCTCGGCGCTACAGCCACTACAACCAGTACCGCGCATATCGGCGACACCACGTACCCGGTGCTTTTGCCGTCTTTGCGTGGCATCGAGGCGGCGGCGAAATCCGCCCCGGCCACCGCGGAGGGTGAGAGGTGGAGAGCTGCGCCGCCTCAGGTGCGGTCGCCACCAGCCGGGTTTGATGTCAATGCTTGCAAACCGACTGAGGCCGCAGCATCAGCAGCAGCAGCAGCAGGAGCAGGAGCAGCAAGCCCGGCGGAATCATCTTCAGGAGTTTCAGCAGCAGAGGCGGCAGCGACTCGTGTGGTGTTACAGCCGGGGGATTTGTTGTACGTGCCGAGGGGGTGGGGACACCAGGCAACAGCAGTAGCAGCAGCAGTAGCAGAGGGGGGGGAGATGGTGGAGGGGGCGCTATCCGCGGCGGTACTGCGGCGTGGCACTGGCGGCGGTGGTGGTGGTGATGGTGACTGGGAGGGGCACCTCTCCGGAATATCACTGCACGTAACCTTTGGACTGGAGGTACGGGAAGTACGGGAGTACGGGAGTACGGGAGGTACGGGAGGGGGAAAGGAGGGAAAGGAAGGCGGGGAATCTAGTGCATCTAGCCGGGTAAGGGAGGACAACAAAACACAAACCGGGGTGTCGCGAACGCAACCCGCCATATTCACTTTGTGTGGTCGCTGTGTGCCTCAATCGCGTCATCTTGTGCTTTGCCAAACGTCAGCGTCCGGAGGTCCTTCCTGAGCATCCTGATCGAGCGCAGTGACAGTCGTATGTATGTGTGACCGGCGGGAAATCCACCTCCACATACACCCATGCCCACACGCATGCTCACACAGCCGCCCCTGCACGCCCATGCATACGCTGTGTGCGGTAAACAGGTAGAAGGGACGTTCAGCTGGCAGGCAGTGGCGCATTGCGCGGTGGCGCTGGCGGCGGCGGCGGTGCGCCGGCAACGGCAGCAGCCCCGGCAGCGCTGGCGGCAGGCGCGCGGTGGCGCTGGGGAGCCGCGGCAATGCGAGCCCCTGGTGAGGAGCCGGCGACCTGACGGCCCGGCGGAGGCCAACCATTCGTCAAGGCTGCTGGGGGCCGCCGGCGGAAAGGGGGGGGAGGAGAAGGAGGCGGAGGAGGAGGAGGAGGAGGAGGAGGAAGGGGAGGAGGTGGCGGCGGCGGCTGAGGAGGCGGCGGCTGCGGAGGGGGAGGCGGCGGCGGCGGAGGGGGAGGAGGAGGAGGGGACTTGGCGGCATGTTGCTGCAGCGGCGGAGGCGGTTGAGGGCTCAGCTGGTCGGGGGCTCCCCGACCCCACCCTCGCGGCGCAGGTACTGGCCCCGGCGTATGTATGTATGTGTGTACGTGCAGTCTGGAAGTGTTATCTTAGGCAATGCTCGCTTTCCCACGATGGCGGGTGTTCTTTGAAGCAGCCAGTGTACCGTACTTGCGTGTGTATTGCTGTACCTCTCCTCGCCTGTCCCGCCCCGATACCCGCTCCCCCCCTTCCCCCAGGTCCTGTTACATGCTTGGCTGGTGCACACCACCTTCACCACCACCCGCCCCGGGCCCCGGCTGGTCCTCCGTAAGGCAGCACCTCTCACAGCCCTAGCACGCGCACCCACCCGCACATCATCACCGCCACCACCGCCACCACCATTAACAGTGCAACCACCGAGAACAACTACTGCCGTACAAGCATCCGCGTTTTCACCTGCTTCATCAGCAGCATCTGCTTCATCAGCAGGGCCGGCGGCAGCGGCCTCAGGTGCCTTGTTGCAAAACCTGCAGCGCTGCCTGAATCCGGATTTGGAGTTGGATTTGAGTGAGGATTGGGAATGGGGCCTGGATCGTCCTCAAGGATTGCGCGAGGAACATCATCGCGATCGAAATCCAGATTCAAAGTCGGATTGTGGTCGAGTTCTGAAAATAGATCCAGGTTCCAATCGTCCAGATCCCCGCGGCGAAGTTGCACCCGCGGCGCCGCCGCCGCCGCCGCCTGCTGTTGTGGCGACACGGCGACTAATGTGGCTGTTGCAACAGGATTGGCAACGCCAACAACAACACCAAGTAAACCAACAAGACCAGGAAGAACAACTCCAGGGGCATCATCATCATCATCATCATCAGGACGGTGACGAGGCTCTTCCGAAGGCTCAGGGACGTCACAACCAAGAGGTGGTGGTGGGAGGAGGCGGGGGAGGAGGGGAGGGGGGTGTACAGGAGGGCGGGGGCGGGGCCGAGTGCGAGGACGGAGGTGAGGGAGGTGTCCGCGGGGACTCGCGGTGCGTGTGGCCATGCGGGGGGCCGTTGAGGGCCGCGTTTGGGGAGCTGCAGCGCCGGCAGGTGGGCCTCATGGCCGCCGCCGCGACGGCGCCCTGTGGCCCGTACGGCGTACCGTACTGGCTGGAATGGACGATCGGGCTGCTGAAGTCCCGGAACGGCGTGTCGGCGCAGCGGGCAGTCCTGCGCGGATGCAGCGGCGGTGCTAGCCTCGGCGGTGACGGCAACAGCGGCGGCGGCGGGTTTGGTTCTGGCGATGGTGGAAACGGCGATAGTGGCGACGGCGGCTGCTGTGCGTACGGCAGTAATGCCGCTGCTGATGTTGATGACGATCCGTTGTGGCGACGGAGCCGCCCCGCGGGTGTCTGCCGCCCGGTGGCCCGGGGACACGAGTTCCTTTTGGCGGCGGGAGGCCGGGGAGGTACGGCGTCCAGGGAGGGTGGTGATCCTTGGATCCAGGCAGTTCGACGGGAGGCGGGGGAGCTACTGGCGGCGGCGGGGGGTGGGGCAGTTGCGCGGTGTGCGGTGTCATTGGTGGCTGCGGACCAGGCGGCTTGTTTGGGGACGCGGCGGCGGGCGAGGCACGCCCTGTTGGCGTTGCACACCTAAGCGGGCGGAATGAGTAAATGAGCGAATATAATGAGTATAATGAATGAATGGATGGATGGATGGACTCATCAATGAGCGGATGAATGGCTGAGTAAAGAGGGGAGCGTGGGCGAATTTTATTGTTTGTATAAGTTTGTCCTTGTTTGTACAAGTACTACCATCTGAGGATCGGTGCTAATCCGAAGGGAAGTAGAGGGTAGGACAAACTGTCGGGCAGAGCAATTCTTTTGACTGCCCCGGTCGCACAATTCCCGTGCTTCCCTAATTCGACACCCTGAACACGCTGATTCTGACTGTCCGAATGTCCCTGCCAGGCCAATTCGACACCCTGTCAGCCTAATTCTGACTGTCGGAATGTCCCGCCAGGCTAATTCGGCACCCGGACAGGCCAATTCTGACTGTCGGAATGTCCCTGCCAGGCCAATTCATATCCCTGTCAGGCCAATTCAAGGGCCTGTCCCGGCAATTCAACTTGTCCCAGGTGTCAATTTAAACCCTTCTACCGAGCAATCTAGACCAATTGCAGGGTCTGCCCCCAAACTCTCAGGCACGCATTCAGAATCGCGGGAGTTGAAGGAACTTTACAAAACAAGGGGAGCACTTACAAATATCTCTCGTGTGTTTGTTGGTTTCAAATCCGTACATGCTTGTACTCCGTACTGCCGTACTCCGTACTCATTCACCCATACATTCATTGTGTGTGTATGTGTGAATGAGTATCCACACGCCTCGTCTTGAACTGTGCTTCAGTCCTGCTAAGGGCCCCCGGCACTCGACCAGACTACATGTGTTCAAAAAGATACCACCACCCGAACCGAACCAAACCAGGGGCATGTTAACCACACCTTTCATTCGTCCATTCATTCATACATCCAATCATTCACGCAGACAAAGAAATGTAAGCACACGCGCCTGCCCTGCAGTAGTGTGGCCCGGCACAATGTAGCTGTAGTAGCTGGTACACAGTAAGCACGGTAAGCTGGTACACGCATAGCACGACCACCAGCATCTCGAGAGGCCTTTTCAGCGGCCAGCTACTAAATAATGCATGAACGTCACATAGAGGAAGGTAGCATAATACGAGCCGTCAACGATAGGACCATCACCGCCAACCGGACTGCGTGAACCTGTCTCCAGTGCGTCACGCAGCACACTGACTGCCTTGAAGCTTCCAGTTGAGGGATCCATGTCGAGGTCGGCCAACCTGTCTGTCAGTGAATGGCGGTAAGTCAGCCACAAACCAGTCTGTACCTAATTCCAGGTTGGATAGAGCCTACTTGAGAGTGGCGCGCTGGTTCTGTTTGTCCTTGTAGTTGAGATCCTGGGACGAGATGTTGACATGGGGCATGCGCTTGCTCAGCGCGCGCAGTGCAGGGAAGCTGATGAGGTATGGCCCGATCATCATCATCTTCCGGGGGTTGATGAGCTGGCGCCTGCAGCACGTGTTACAGTGTCGACATTGCTGATCCTATTTGGTACCAGTCATTCGCCCGTGAACGCATGGCCATGCTCCTGGCTTTTAATGTACCCTACTGCAGGCCCGCGTACCTTAGGCGCCAGCCAATGTGCATTTGGTCAATAGTCAGCACGACGGGTTGGAGCACGGACACCCACGTCACTGCAAGGGGCAATGTAAAAAGCTACCTCCTCCGGCTGGCGTTGTTGTCCTTTGATGCTGAGACCCCGGATGATACCCCGCAGCAACTGTTGAATTGTGCCGTCAACGAGTCCTGAATGTCAATCGATGTCCGATGGTTAACAAGTCAAGGCATGTGTACACGCACGCCAGCCTACACTACTCACGCATGCCGACACTGCATCATACCTCGTTGTGATGTTTCGAGCAGTCGGACGGGTTCACTGCGTGATGCATCTGCCCGAGCGTATGCCTGTAGCCTCACTCTATCAGCCTGGAAAAGGGATGTCCGCCGCTTAATCTCCCTGTCCAGCACTATTCGATCTGCCCGCTCGGCGATCAATGCGGATGTGACCACCTTGAGCCGCTCAAAGAGCTCAACGTGTCCCGCACGCTCAAGTCCCTCGGCAGAACGGAAGGGGACAATGACACTTGGGTCTGTCGCGACTCGCTGTGTCGCAGCGACTCGCAGTGAAGCAGCGTCGGCTGAACGCTTCAATTGGTGATTTCTGTTGAGGGCCAGACACGCGGCACACGGCCATACAGCTGCGGAGGAGAAACTGCAGACAACGGACCGGATGGAGTCGATTTCGCCGTAGTATGCTGGAAGCTGATTCTCCCGGAAGAATGTATCCGCCTGTGGTGCCATGTCAGGATTCCCATGTGGGTTAACATTTGTCAGGCAGACCAACACGCTAGCCTTGCCTTTGCCCGACCCACATGCACTGACCTTAGCAAACCACCATGCCATCAACAACCCGGGGTACCAGGCTAGCGCGCGCCCTGCATCGCCGCCCGTGTCCATGATGGCGGCCTCAATGTCCCGCGGCCCCAACACACCCGCCTGGGAACAGCCGTATAGGCAGGCGTAACATTCGTCGCGCAGTCCAGGGCACGACATCCCACCGATAACACGGCGCCGACGCTCGGCTAGTTGTTGCAGGAAGGCGGGGCGCGCTGGACGGGCGCCCGGCATGGGTAACGGACCGGGCAACGGCGCCGTGCTTCGAAGCCCGCGCTGCGACAACAGGTCTGAAAACATGGCATACCGGCATCCGTATCCAACACTGCCGGTGCGAAGGCTGCGAAGGACGCATACTTAACTCCACAGCTAGATCCATCGAAGCCACAAAGCGCCTGAACACAAAATTGTGGGTACAGGACCGTGCATGGCGCTGGGTGGCCACAGCAACACAAGTTAATCGTGTGCTGGCGTCCACAGACTCTGCAATCAAGCTGACGTTTCTCCAGGACTTCCATAGCAGAGGCCTGAGACTTCTCCGCCCCGAATACTTCCATGCATGCACCATGGTTCATTTAGCACCGTTCGACACAAGAACCTATGGTGATAATATAAACTGGCATACTTATTGCAATGGTTTACCGAGATTTTTAGAAATGCTTCCTTACTGTCTAAATACCTTCAGCTTTTTAAAAGGAACACGCCTTAGATATTGCACAACAACGGCATAGAGATGTATAAGTATACCAAAAGCACTTCTAGCGCCGCGCACTGTCATGCATTAA